CATTGTTGACAGACAGGGAAATTAACTTTGTCAATACAGATGACCACTTAATTTTTGTTCAAATTGGATGTGCATGTAGGTATATTGCATGTGTATGTATGTGTGCATTAGGGTTGTGACTTTTTGTAAAATAATTGACTTCCTGTATCATAATTTGAACTTTTGTTAAAAAAAATAATGAAGCTTTTAATTCAGTTTATTTAAAAAAAAGAAAAACACACCCAAAACAAAATTTCCAAAATCATATATAGCAAACTGAAAAATCAAACTTCTCCAAGTTTGCAATTTTTTTTATTTGTAAGGTTGTATGTTATGCTATAGCTATAAACTATGAAATGTGTTAAAATATGTAATTACTATCTAATTACATCATTAGCAAACTGAAAAATAAATCTAAAATATTTTGAAATTTTTTTACCCTTATTAGTAAAATTGAATTTTCAGTTTGTGTTGACCTTTTCAAGAACTAAAACAAATTAATACTTTTTCATCACTTTTGAACAAAAGTTCATTGATTTATGACACAGGAACATAAGTTTACAAAAAAATCATAACCTTAGCATGCATATTTTAATTCAATGAAAGACCTAAACATATTTCTACAAAATTTAAAAAAAATATTTTTTTTATTACCAAATAATTTCCAAAATGTTTAATAAATATGGTGTGTGTGTCTTTTTGTCTACAACTTTGATTTTATTATTCAACACAGGTTAGGGTTTTAAACAGACTGGAGGAGAGGTTTACCTATTATTCCAGTTTACTTATTTCAAACCTAAATCCTGTCCTGGGTATGACCTTTAAACTACACCTGCATCCTGGGTCAAACAATAAACTTAATCCAACAGCAATGCCTTTGATCAAAAGGTTTTGAGGATTGGAACCACCTCTTTTTATTGTTGGTGATCCCAGGTCCACCCTTAAAACCCAATTTTGGCAGAATCTGTTAATTAAAATAAATGGACAAATAGGGACTAAAAACTGGGGTCAAAACAAATATGAAAATGTTAAAAAAGGTTTTAATACCAGAAATACTTTTTAAAAAAATTATTAACAGTGATAAATTTTTGAAGAAAAAAATTAATACCAGCAATACACTTTTTTTTTATTACCAGAAATATAAAATTTTAGAAAAATATTAAAAAGAAAATTGGACAAGAAAAAAAAAAAAAAAATTACCAATAAAATAAAATTGTTTCCATTAAATAACTCATTGAGGTTGATATGCTGTAAAACAAACCAAACCCTAGTTTACTGTGTTTATCACGTAAAAGTAGTAAAATTTTATTGTCATTATTTATGCTGATATCTTGTTTATTTTTAATTTTATTTTTCTTTTATTAAAAATTAGTAAACAAACAAAATTTTTTTCAAACTTAAAAATACAATTTTTCTCATGTGTGATGATTAGTTTTTATTCCATTATCTTTTTTTATTGTCACTATTTCAATGGTGCACAATTTTAATTTTTTTTTTTTGAAAAGATTTTCAAAGTTAAATGTTTTCAAATTATAGAATTACACTACAAGTTGTTTTTAAAAACACAATCAAAATTGAGTCCCATCATAATGAAAAAATTTCATTTTTTAATTTTATTTTTTTTTGCTTTTTAACCATAAGTTTTTCTTGTTTCTTTTTTTTAATATATTTTTGAATGAAATACAGAGAAATTCAACAATTTAAAAAAAAAATTATATTTTTTTTTTTGCAATTTTGCAATGTTTTGTCTTTAATAATCATATATTTCATATATCTGTGCCTATATACAACTGAAGGTATTGAAATATATATTTTATATAAGGATCCATATCCCATGTTCATTTTTTATAAAAAAATTTAAAAGGTTCCGATATGAATTATTCCTATTTAAAAATTGTTGAATATATGTTAGTAAAAAGGTTAAATTATTGGGTGAATTATTTATATTATGACATATTTCCGTTTATATATATATATTGGTATAATTGAATTTATATATATATTTATATAAAACATAATGTAAATTAAAATAAAATCCATTAATATTTAAATAAATAAAATAAATCTTTTATATATATATAATATATAATGCAGAAAGAATACAGTTGAAGTTTTAAAATAAAGAAAGTTCTGGTATATATACAAGAAAAATTCAGTAAATCCTTTGTATATATATATATATATATATATATATATATATATATATATATATATATATATATATATATATTTCATTAATAATATATACAAGTGTTTATATCTATTTATTTTATTTAAAATTTTTTCGTATCTTCTGATAAGTTTGATAACATTATTAAAAAAAAAGAAAAAACAGAAATTCACAATATTTATCCATTATTTTTAATAAATAAATCTAAGTCTTTTTTATTAAGCATCATTAAATATTATCAAAGATATAAATCAAAACATATTAAACTGTTTTATACGGACATATCAAATGGTAGTCTGTCATTGTTTATAGTGGATCACTAAATCATACGATAAACAATGTTTATATAAGACGCTAGAAGTGAAAATCGCAAAACATCTCCTAACAAAAAATTTGACTATACTTAGTGAAATGTCAAAATGAAATGAATAAAGTTTTTTTTTATATAAACCAATGGCTTTGTTTTTTTATTATAAAATTATAAACATTTAAGAAATATTTGTAGAGATGCCATAATTGATTTTTTTTAGGTTGGGTTTTTAAAAAATTTTGTATAATGCTTCAAATATTTTTGGTTTTTGTCTATTGTTTTCATGTCAAAATATAGTTGTTTTTAAACAATTATTTTAAAAATTGTTTTATTTAAACAAAGGACATGTTGTTTTTAAATGCCTAAAAATGTTAGAGTTTTCATTAAAATGTAGTGTCAAGCGTTTGAAAATTCTATTTGTGGTGTGACCAACATAAATATTTTATAATTAATTTTGGATCGAGATACACTCTCCCAAAAGGGCAAACAATTGTTTAAATTTATAAACTATGTTGGTTTTTTAAATCGCCATCAGGTATGGTTGAATAAATATTGTTTTTGGAATCATATTTTAAATAAATAATTATATTTTATGCTTATTTTGTATCGAGCACTATTTTTTTTTAAAATAATAAAAAACTAAAAAGAACTTTGGATTATTTACCTAATGAGTTCTTTCCTATTTTCTATATATTTTTCACATATATATATATGGCTTCAGTAAATACACAGCCCAGTAAAAACATGTAGCACTTGAAAAAGATAGTACAAAATTTTTCTACAAAGTTTACAAACATTGTTTAACTCTAGTCTAAAATATATTTATTCAACTTAATACAAAACATGCGTAGATGAAGAAAATGGATGTAAGAAGAGTTTTTTTTAATTATTTTTTCAACCAAGAATGTTCTGCTTGCCCTGAAAAATAACGTTCAAGATATTAGCTTCTAACTGAAGTTAAACTGATGTTAATTGGAAAACACAAATGAAGGAGACCTGTATGAAACATATTTTATCTATTAAGATGATAGTAAATTCATAATTTAATTACTTATGACAAAAAAACTGGCAACTGTCATAAGCTAGATTTGTTTTCAGCAATGAAGTAAATAGAAAACATTTCTACAGTCTCTGGTATATAAGATAGTTTTCTTTTTTTCTTCAACTGTTATTCTCAAGTGACACCTATTGCATTTTGATGAATGTTTCTTAGTTGGTATCAGGTGTAAGCACATAAAAAAAAACTAATGCTGTTCATTTGTTTCATTAATAAAAACGATTTTACTTAGTTTAAAATCTGTATAAATGGTGAGTTTCTCATTACACCAACATGAAAAGATGTAAAGACATTGTCAAAAATAAAATGAAAAGCTTTTTAAGAATCAGATTTCTGTATGTATGCAAGTGCATCAATAGGTCTGTAGCCTTAATTCAGAATGCATTTATTTTACACAAATATTTTCAATAGGAGTAGATAGGTTTGTCTCGCATCCAGTTCACACTTCTCCCCAATCTTTTCAACAAGAGTAGTGACTTATCTCTTGTTTCCTGTTTTAGAATTTAGTTTCCGGTTTCTTCTAAAGTCTATTCAACTCTATATTTCTAACGTCTCCACCTATAACCCTGAAATTACATTTACTATTTCCTTTTCAGTTTATCTTTCTTTCTTTGTTTTTTTTTTTTTACAATAAGAGTTGATAAGTTTGCATATCAATTGGTTCACACTCTACCCTGGTCTTTTGAACAGGAGTAGAGATTTATCCTTTGTTTCATGTTTAGGATTAGGTTTCTGGTTTAAAGCCTTTTCCTTCTCTTTCACTCTCAGTAGCCCCTTGCATCTTGATGGAATTATCTCCTTGCTTGGTGTGGTACCTCTTACTCTGTAACCTTTTACCTCGAGGGTGAACATCATTGTTTAAAAAAAATAAGCCAATGCACTTAATTCAGTTGTAAATATTAATCATATGGATTGAACATTATATAGTGAAAATTTCAAATCAAAATTTAGCTAATTACTCTATGAGGTTATGAACTTATTAATCTTTTTCTTTAGTAGGACATCTTAATCTATTTCAGTTATTATTAATTTCATTGTTGAAAAAAATAAAAATAAAAACAAGGATGTTAGCTCAAACACATATACCCTCTAAAAATAAAGTTTATAGCAATAAGAAATAATGTTGGATTAAAAAAAACATTTAAAAATAATTAAATTTACATGACTCCTGCTGATTGGCTTTGTAGTCTAATTGATTGTGTAACTGCCATGGTAAGATAGTCTTCTAAGCAAGTTGTCAGTTTGAGCCTTGCCAGAAATGTATTCTTTATTTCTGAAATGCAGACATTACAAACAATTATGAAATGTCAATACTATATGCATATTTTCACTTGTTTTTTACTTTTTTGTTGTTGTCTGCTTTGTTATTGTTATTGAGTCTCTTGTTTATTTTTATTTATTGCAGTTGAATGACCATGTCTGAAGGCGTGCAGATTTTGCAGCCTGTCTCTGGTGCTTTGTCACCAACAACAAATCTTCAGGACATGCTTGCATCCAATGCTCCAATTGAAATCATCCACGCTTCTCCGGAGACAATAGCAGCCATGATACCAAAATCAGAAGCTGAAGATGAACAATCTGTGGTGGCACACGCAGAAGCTTTAATTGCCCAGAGCACAGGTAAATTTTATTGAGGCTGAAGTAGAAGGTTACTTCTTACAATTACAATTTGGTAATCTGTAACAAAAAAGAAAATTTGATTTATCATCAATGCTAAAGAAAAAAAAAATGTCTAAATGATATGTGGCCTCACAATACTGTTGTGTTGAAAGTATTGGTTCTCATCTGATCAAGAAAGTTAAGCAACATTGAACCTGATAAGTAGCTAAGACAGGTGACTATAGGCAGGGCTTGTGCAAGGGTCTCATTGGCTCCCCCGAATCTATGATATGGGACCCTACTCTACTACATCTCAATTTTCATAAGGTAGTATTCATATAAAATACAAATTTTATTGTAATTTAATTATGTTCAACAATGGATCATCTGCAATATAGGTGAGGATTCAACTAGAAAAATTGAAAATAAATACAATGTATCTCAATACAAATTAGAGACATGTCATAATAGATCATTCTATTTTAAATAAATCAATGTTTTCAGACAATTTTTAACATCAACTTGAGACTTTTCTTCTTAAAAAGTTGAATAATTTTAACACATTCAACATTATGGATAAAAAATAGTGAATTTTATATAGTTTTTTTAAGACTTATTCACGGAAAAAAAGTCCCCAGAATGACATCAAAATCTATGAAAATTTTTCATTTTTTAATACTAATATTCAATTGTGCTTAGTTTAATTTGTAATTTATATAAATGTAGGTAGAGGAAAAAAGCAAATGTTGATAATATAGCAAGGGTCACAAAACACTGGCTGAGCCCCCAGTCAGGGGGATCAGGTGCAGTACACACTGGTCCTGACTATAGGTATTATAAATAACTTCTGGCCTTGTCTCAGATTAAACACTATGTGATAAATATTGTAGACTAAGCAATATGTCAAGTGTGACCAAATAAACTAACTCTATTTTCATGTGAAAATAACTCTGAGCAATTAATGATTGTGTCTTTTATTTCAAGTGTATTGTTCTGAATGGGTAAAATAATAGCTTTTGATTGTTCATTATTTTTATTATTATGACTATATATTTTGTAATATCATTTTTTTTTTCAGCTTCTGGTACTCCAACCCTACAAAGTCTTTTAGCAGCACCAGTGACCAATAATCAAATTCAGATAATTACAGTTGCATCTCCTTCAGAACTATTATCTTCTAACCAAGTGGATGGCATAGATAAAGTCTGGCAAGTTGTACCCAGTTCTGTAAATCCTGAAGTTGCCACAATTATTGCAGTTAATGCAAATGACTTTGAAGTCAAAGGAGATGTAACAGGTATTGTAGTTCTGTTCTTATGTTCAAATTTTTTCCCCTTTCACCATATAAATCAATTTCCCAATTCTTGCTGATTTAATGTTGTCTTTCCATGTTACTTTACCATCCTTGTATACTCTAAAGAACACTTTACTACCAATCTCAAAACTTTTGGTGTCACTTTTGTTAACTGTATTTTTCGACTTGGTAATAACTTATCAAACACAAATTTTACTCTTCTGGCAAACATTAATTCCACCGGCAACATGCCTGATGGTGTATTGAGGTTAGGTGTTACCTGGTAAACTCTCGGAAAATTTTGAAGGGCTTTATCATTTACTTACTCAAGACTTGCTTTTTCAATGCTCTTTTGAATATTCTCACAAACCATTCTGCTTGTCTGTTTTACCTTGGATGATACAGTAGTGTCATAATATGTTCAATGGAGAATATCTTACAATAGTCTTAGAATTCTTTACCTATGAATTGTGTTCCATTACCAATACTATGGTATCTGGTATACTATATCACCCATAGTTCATGCAAGAAATTCACTGTCACTAAGGATGTTGGATTTCTGCACTTATAAATTTACAGCCATTCTGTAGAACTATAAACTACCATTGATAGAACCTGCAAAATCTATATGCAGTCTTGACTATGGTGTGTCTGTCTTTGGCCAAGGTTGTATCTTTGTGATAGGTAGTTTTGCAGTTAGCAGACATCCTCTACATGTTTTCACTATTCTTTCAATATCTTGGTCTATTCTGATCCAATATGTGAAACTTCTCATCAGACATTTAATTTTAGAAATACCAGTATGTCCGCAATAAAAATTCTTTAATATTCGTTTGTGTAACACACTCGGTATTAAAAATCTTTGACCGTACATCACATATCTAGTACGCATTTAATCTGAATTTCATTCTTTGTTCCTTTCTTTCAATTGCTTTTTTTATTTTGCAATAAAGACATCATTTTCCTTTATTTTATCCAGGGTCATACTACATTGCACAAAATGTTTTTTATTTCTATTTTGTTTTTTACTGCTCTAATGACCATATCCTCCAGTGGTTCTGCATTTTTAGGTATTAATCTAGATAAACCATCTGCACGTCCTAATTTTTTTGACAGTTGGGATTCCATCATAAAATCATAGTTTAACAGGATGATACCCCAGAGTTGTAGTCTATTAGCTGTATGAGTAAGTATACCTTTCTTTGAACTATATATTGTTAATAAAGGTCTGTAGTCTGAAACAATGTGAAATTTCTTCCATGAATAAATTTTTGAAATTTCTTCACAGCAAATATAATTGCTAAAGCTTCTTTTTCTATTTGGCTGTAATTTTTTTTTCTGCTGGTAGAAGTGAGCATGAACCATATGTGAAAGCTTTCATTTTAGTGCCATCATATTTGTGTAAAATCACTACTCCGATACCATACTCACTAGCATCTGACACCACTACATTTTCTGCTTTTGAGTCATAGTGGGTTAATGATAAATCTGACATAAGCCTTTTTTATTTCATCAAACAACTTTTGGCATTTATCATTCCAATTCCACTTTACTCCTTTTTTAAGTTGATCATTAAGTGGAGCCTTAACTTATACATATTATTTACATAAATTTGATAGTAACTAGCCAGTCCTTGTAATGTAGCCCCATTTGTTGGTGGAGACATATTATTAATTGCATTTGCCCTTGATGGATCTAATTGCCTATTATTTTTATCAATAATTTGACCAAGATATTTATTTTTCAACAAAATTCACATTTTTCTTCACTAAGCTTGAATCTGTATTCTCTTAGTTTTTCCAAAATTGTTTTCATGTGCGCAACACGTTGCTCTTTCAGTAAACTTTTGATCAAAATGTTGTCCAGATACACCACTGCAAAATCATAATCTGCCACCATGGTATCCATGGCTTGTTGAAAAATAGCTAGTGCCACCTTTTATCGGAAAAGGAAGTCAGTTAAACTTATATAATCCTCTGTGCATATTTATGGCCATTAATTCTGAACATTTATTTTCAATCTGAATTTGTAAATAGGCTTCAGAGAGATACAGCTTTGAAAATATTCTTCTGCCATTTAACTTCAAAAAATTTCCTCTGGACTTGGTAGTGGGTAGTTATGTGTTTTTAAACAACTGTTTAATCCAGTTGAGAAAGCTGCACAAACACAAATTCTGTTATTTCTTTGTATACACCACTGGTGCAGCCCATTTCAAATGGCTCATTTTTTTTTTTTATTACACCAATTCTTTCAAGTTTGTCCAATTCTTCATTCATTTGTTCTAATGCTGCAAATAGTACAGTCCATTTCAGCTTAAATATTGGTCTTTTCTTACTTGAAACTCTGTCTTGGATTTTGAACACTGACCCAGTTCATTTGACAGAACATTGGGTAAACATTTTTGTAATTCTTCCTTAAAATTTTCACTCTAACTTTTTAAAATGGTTGCTTGTCTCCTTATGTTTTTGCCATAAATATTTATTGGCATGTCTCAAAGTTTAAATAGTTCTATCCAGTTCATTGCATTCAAAATAAATGTGTAGCATTTCTTAATACATAAGCTTTAATTTTTACATGTTTATTGCTGAATGAGACATTTCAAGTAAAAAAAAAAAAAAAAGGAATTTCTCACCAGAAATTGAAGTTACAACTTTGGAAGTCCTTTTTAATAAAGGTTTTCCAATTTCCTCCTATGTGGTTTCACTGATTCTTGAAATATCACTACCGATGTCCAGTAGGATTTTCACATGTACATTATTTATTTTCACATTTACAAATTTTCTTTTGTTTTCTGTGACCATTTTATCAGTTGCAATGTTGTGTACTAATTTCTTCCTGCGAGAATTTTTTCTTGGTTTGGGTTTGCATTGTGACTTTACATGTCCTCATTTATCACATTTGTAACATTCTGCATTTTTAAATGGACAGTCCTTTCCAAGATGTAATTTACCACATCTGAAAGAACAGTTTATTCTCCTTTTTCTACAATTGTCTTTTGCTTGTACCAATGCACATTCTTTTTTTCTGAATTTCTTCAGCATCATGTTTCTCATTTAGCATTGTCTGACAATTATTCACTATTTCTTGCAGTGTAATATTATTGTTTTGTTCAATTTTTGTTAAAATATTTGCTCTTATTTCAGCATCATTTTTGACTGTTAAACCTTGCAATCCTTTGAATATATCTGGAGTCATTTTGATTATTCTAAACCTTTCACATTCTCTGTTGACACTATCAGCATAGGTGACAAAATCTTTGTTCTCTTTTAAGCAACTCCAATGAGCATTAAACAGAGAGCTCTTGTTATGTTACTAAAGATTTTTTGTACCATGTCTTCAAACCCAATTTCACCTGTATTTTTTCTTTTTTCAGTAAAATGTAATTGCAGTATTTTTCATGCTCTATTGGAACTATTTTCCTCAACAACAATCTCATTTTTGCCCTATCTTCCCAGCTGTTGCATTCCCAACTGGATATTTGTTCATATCTATGAAAATATGCAGAAAAAGTCAGTCCCACATCAGGAGTGTATATAAATTCTGATATGGTGTTTTGGACAGCGTCTAGCATAAAAGACGAAGAATTTTTTGTTTTCTTCAGAATTATATCCAACACCTCTTGTTATTTTTGTAGTTCTAGAAACTGTTGATTCTGTTATTGTTGCTGTTTCTGTTGTTGGATTTCAGCTATAGAAGCAAAGATTTTCTCCATATTTGCAAGAATTTTTTTTTTTTTTTTAAACCAACATGGTTGAAATTCTTATAACTCTTAATTTTAATTTGTATGAGTTTCCAGAATCCCTGTTACAATGGTTATAAGTTGTAAAAGTTCCAAATCCTTGATACGACAATTATAAATTGTCTGAGTTTTGAAGCCCTCAGTGTCACTATTATAACACCATTATTCTATGGCTATTGTCACAACACACTCTTACTTCATATAACGTATTTCATATTAGGATTCTCTATATATAATGCTTTGGCTACTTGCCATGACGCATGTATAATTAGTTTGAAGATTGACTCCAAATGGCTACCAGTCTTACATTTGACTTGGAGCTCTTTATAGTAATGAACTAATTCATATAGTCACCAGGAGTGTACTATTTACTTCACAATACATACATTTTATGATATATATATTTATAAAAAAAAAATATATATGTCAAAAAAAAAAAACTAATTTTATCCTGAAAACATAAAATTATGTACAACATTTGTACATTTTGGCATTAAATAACCCATAGAGATTGATATGCTGCAAAACAAAATCAACCAACCAAAATCCAAATATTTAGATTTCGGCATTAAATAACCCATAGAGGGTGATATGCCGCTAAACAAAATCAACCAACCAAAATCCAAATATTTAGATTTCGGCATTAAATAACCCATAGAGGGTGATATGCCGCTAAACAAAATCAACCAACCAAAATCCAAATATTTAGATTTCGGCATTAAATAACCCATAGAGGGTGATATGCCGCTAAACAAAATCAACCAACCAAAATCCAAATATTTAGATTTGACATTAAATAACCCATAGAGGTTGATATGCAAAAACAAAATCAACCAACCAAAATCCAAATATTTAGATTTCGGCATTAAATAACCCATAGAGGGTGATATGCCGCTAAACAAAATCAACCAACCAAAATCCAAATATTTAGATTTTGGCATTAAATAACCCATAGAGGGTGATATGCCGCTAAACAAAATTCCAAATATTTAGATTTCCCATTAAATAACCCATAGAGGTTGATATGCCGCTAAACAAAATCAACCAACCAAAATCCAAATATTTAGATTTCGGCATTAAATAACCCATAGAGGTTGATATGCCGCTAAACAAAATCAACCAACCAAAATCCAAATATTTAGATTTCGGCATTAAATAACCCATAGAGGGTGATATGCCGCTAAACAAAAATCAACCAACCAAAATCCAAATATTTAGATTTCGGCATTAAATAACCCATAGAGGTTGATATGCGCTAAACAAAATCAACCAACCAAAAATCCAAATATTTAGATTTGGCATTAAATAACCCATAGAGGGTGATATGCCGCTAAACAAAATTAACCAACCAAAATCCAAATATTTAGATTTCGCATTAAATAACCCATAGAGGTTGATATGCCGCTAAACAAAATCAACCAACCAAAATCCAAATATTTAGATTTCGGTATTAAATAACCCATAGAGTTTCATATGCTGCTAAACAAAATCAACCAACCAAAATTCAAATATTTAGATTTTGGCATTAAATAACCCATAGAGTTTGATATACTGCTAAACAAATTCAACCAACAACTTAATTTTAATGATACATCTCAGATTTGCATTTTTTTGTTTTTTCCCTTTATTTTGTTAATGATTTTAATTTATTTCAATTTTAGTGATATCACTTCATGAAATACTCATAAGAACTATGAATAATATTTAGGATTTTTGCTGTTGTAGATGTTGAACAACTGGAAAATACTGACAATGAGTCGAATGAAGTGTCTGTTGGTTTAAATGGATCTGAATCTACTATGATGCTGGTTTCTCCCGTCCCTCAGCCATCTCCACAGCCCTGCCATACACTGCCCCCAAACTGCCCCTCCTGGGCTGCACGTCTCAAGAATTGCCAAGTAAGCAACTTTTTTTTTGTACATTTTGTGTTTTACATTAAAGAAAAAAACTAACTGTAAAATGGGAATATTTTTTTATGTTAACATGAAGCGGAAATTTTCCTTCTCTTTAAATATTTTAGTATATTTAAGTAAATTAATGACTTGAGGGCAAGTCACTAATTTAATTGAATTTTATTCTCAACACCCTTGATATTTAATTCTGACATTTTTGCTCTATTCACACAAGCTTTCATGACTTTCTTTCTTGTGAAAATCACAAATTATGATTTGCCTGATGAGAGACAATTATGTACTCATTGCACCTAGAAGTCAGGTTCACAGGCATTTCCAGAGATGCCTCTTGAATTTTTTACTTATTTTTATTTTCACATTTTATTTAATTTTGTAAGGAAGTATCCATATTAAATATGCTTTGTCTCACATTTCATTAGGTGTGTGCAAAGGTTTGCAGTATTTTTATTTAAAAATAAAAACAGATTTCTCTTTATTAAGTCTCAAGTTAACAAAAAAAACCTACTAGAATGTTGGTTCCAGTCACTTAAAATGACTGCAAAAACGTCCTCTTCCTCAAATTTTTTGGTCTCATCCACCATATTCTTGTTGTCTAGTTTTGAAGTCAAAATGCTGCGATCACTTTTGTGTGTTAACACTATTCTTAGTTTGCAAACATTTTGCCGTATTACTGTTGCTTTACCTACTTTTGTCTTGCACACACACACACATATATAATTATTTATTTAAAAATATGATTCCAACACTACATAAGAGTTCTCATGTTTCAAAACAAGAGCCGAAAAACTTCAATATAATTATTTGAATTAAATTGAAATTAAAGTATCAAGCTCTGTTCCATCTTCAAGTGAAATTTTTTTGGGAAGCTATTTATGCTCTACTTTTGTATCGAGCACTATTTTTTAAAAACAATAACAAAAATACTAAAGAACTTTGGATTATTTACCTAACGAGTTCTTTCCTATTTTCTATATATTTTTGCACATATATATATATGAGAGAGAGAATTAATATAAGTAAAAGGATTGTGACTTAACTAATTGATGTTACCTTCAGCATCCCGACACCAGAATTTCATAGACACTCTCCAGGAATCACTCCATCCACTCATCAGGGAGTATCAGCAATTGACTGCTTATACTTCTTGATTTTTCTTTTTTATATTCACTTTTCATAGATGCAAGTTTTTTGTTTTGTTTTTTCATAGTGTGTGAATGCACCCATCTGCGTACATGCATGTGTATGTGTTTTCTCTGTGAATTTGATTTTTATCTGCTTAGTATAGTATTATCTTTGCCTTGTTCTTTTCTTTCTTATTGCTTATTAGAAACTTTGTCAATTCTGTTTTTTGGGGCATTTCTGCCAATTACATTTAATCATAGTCAATTACACCACACAGGGACTTTTGAATAACTCTAAAATACTTTCTATTTCTTTCCATGGAAACTGGGCTGACACTCTACAATCTTTTCTCTCCAGCCTCAACAGACTTCATCTATAGTGTTGGTCTCAGTGGGTGGGGGGTTGTTTTCTAGCTTCAGACAAATTTGTATTATTCTTGTTTAAACTATTATTCTTATACTTTGTAAGTTGCCGTTGAAGTTATTATTTCAATAACCACTCTGAACAACATTACAAAACTCAGCATGCCATACACACAGGGTAAAACCATCCTCATTCCCTTTGTATTCCATTGTTAAGAAAGAAGTTCCATTTGGACAGCTTCTTCTCAAAGGTCACTGCTTTGTGGAACAGACTTCAGAGGAGATGCTTCCCCAACCATTACAAGCTGAATCTCTTTGAATCAAGTGTCAACAAATATCTATACTACATATCCTCATAATCTTCAATTCTTTTGTCTATAAAACCTCATCCAGTAACCCTCTATTTTGAGTGGCTCTTGAGTAAACAATAGCATTAAAAAAACAGCAACAGATACAGGGATAGATCAATTGGCGATGCATTTTGAAGGTGGTCTTCATTTTGTGTGCTGACAACTGTGCATGGATGCCTAGAACATGTCTTGTCAAATTCACATCATGGTCATAACTGCTGAAATGCATTACCTACTGCCTGTGTTCACATCCATTGCTTGGTCTCCATAAACATTCAGTAAGTATTGATGAATGTCAGTGGATGCAGTTTTTTCTGCACAGGGTAATTTATTGATACATTGCTGTTTCATATGCACTTTTCATGTGCCACTCCATTTTGTCAGACTGTCACTCAGTCCATAATAAGGCAAAAAAAGAAACTTATGAGTTATTCACTAAAAGTGTATTATGTAGACGTCCATTTATCTTGCAAGATAACCATAGCACCTTGTTTGGACAAAATTCAGTCTTTTTGTAAACAGCATCTGGAGTTCCTTAGCAGTCAGATAATTGTATGGCAGACAGTTTTGCAATTAAAAAAGGTCTATAGATTCATTGAATTGTTCCTGGCCACAGAAATCTTTAGTGAAAGGCGAAAGATTTATCCACAGTCTTCAACTGAAAATGTTCAATCTCTCCTGTGATACCACCAAAATGTGTTTCTGATAGCATGGGTCAGCATAATAGAAGGCATTATTTTCAGAGCATCCATCACATACCATATATATCCTTATACAATTGTTGGCTCTTCAGTTTTTTCTCTTAATGAAAAATTCTACTGTATTTCTTCCTTTGCCTACATTCCAGCTGTAACTGGTTCTATGTGTAAAATAATAGTTTTCTTCAGCAGTTTAACTATCCAGATCAGATGACTCTCATTTGCTGAACAGCCATCTGTCACTTCTAAGGTTTTATACTTGAAAAACTGGGGTTAATTTACATGAAACCTAAAAGGAAACAAAACTTTCAAGTATAAATAAACTTTACAATTCGTATCTGATTTCTTTCTAAATTCATATTACTAGCAAATAAGTTTTTAAAAATAATTCCAATTCTTTCTGAAATTAAAAATATCAGTTTTAAATGAGTATGAAAAGTTTCTTTGAGTAAACCTTTTTGAAGTAAAACAAATTTAAATTTTAAAATAATTTATTCATTCAGTCATTATAATCAAACCATTGGTTATAATTAAAGTAGGCATTGGTCAAAATTCAATCCTTTGGTGGTGAAGCTTCTTTAAAGCACTAGCCAGAACTATATGGCTCTCCTCTTGGCCATACCAACAAAATCCAAAGGAATACAGGGTATTAAATTTGGGGCCAGCTTGGCTGCAGGAGTTGTTGGAATGTGTCAGTGTTGACAGTCAACCACCTTCAAGCCTCCTCCACTCTCATACCCAACATAAAATATTTGTATAAAAGCTAAATAAGCAAAAATATTTTCATAATAGAAGATAATGACATAAATTTAATTTATTCATTAATCTTATGAGGTGGTATCAAATAGTTTGTGGCTGACTCTAATTTCATAGTAATCTTCATTGATGAGTTGACACATTTTCTGGTGTTTTGCTGGTGATTGGTCACTGAACACTCATAAAGTGTCAGTCAACTCTACTAGCCTTGAAACACATGTGCCACTCATAAACCTGTGTTTGACCTAAAACAATGCTTGCCAAAAGCCTGATGAAACAGGGTCTCCTTAGCAGATTCATGAAGCTTTACACAAAATTTGATGCAGGTGCATTGTTCAAATTTTTTAGACATTGTAAAGATTGCAGAGCCATTCCAACACACCCTTTCATAAAAATGGCAAGTAGATAGCACAAATCCTATTTCTCAAACTAATTCAGTAAGCTCAATATAAGTGAGTATTACCTGCATGTGCAGTCTGGGGAATTTTCAATATTACCTTGTAGACTTGTCTTTTTCCTACCTATCACCCCTAGCAACAGAACAGTCTATATCTTACGCCTACCTATGGAAAACTTCAACCAATAAAAACCGTACTAGGCGAATCAACCAATCTCATTGGTTAATGACACAATAATCTGAAAGTTCACGTGCAAAAAAGCGAAATTGCGCCAAAAAACTCCGTGAGCCAATTTCGGACTTTCAGGACTTATAAAAAAAACGGCGACTGCCCCAAAATCAGTCAAAAAATAAAACCCACAGAGAAATTGCCAACATACTCCACATCACTCGAAATCACGATTTTACCATGCAAAGGTACATCAATTCTGACTCACTCACAATTAAAACTCAACCAACTCTGTGGACATCGATTCTCAAACATTGCTTATCTAAAGTGAATTATATTCACTACCTATTAAGTAACATCAATGTCCGAATGACCTTAAAAACATTACAGTCAAAGGTAGATCACTCCTTAAGAACTCCTTCTAAAAAGACACTTAATATTAACAACTAGCAGTAGAGCCCGGCGTTGCCCGGGGATGTAACAATAAGAGATAGATCAAATATCGACCATCATAAAGACTGAAAAATAAAATTGACAAAGATTATTGTTTAAGGTTGACGACACGCATGTCTTAATTAGTTTTTTTTTTTTTTTTTTTTTTTTCTGGTCAAACCCAAACTCAAACAAAAACATTGTTTACAATCGTTATGAGTCTATCGATTGGTGAATAGAATTTTATTATAAACAATTGTCTTGTAAATGGAATTTTTAAAGCATTCTGAATGTAAATAAAGAAAAAAAAAGTGTGCAAGACAATAAGAAATACTACCTGCCAAAAAAAAAAAAAAAAATGTCTGTTTTATCAGCTGAAAAATGCAAGAAATCCGATCCCATATATAAAGGAACACACACACACACACACACACACACACACACAAACAACCTGGGTTTTTTAACCTAAGTCACTCCACAGAATCGCTAAAACATAGAACATAGTCTGATGAAAAAGACGCTAAAGTTTATGAAAACAAAATTTTATCGTCAAAATGCTTATGTTTTTATGAAGAGGATAGACTAAATTTTTTTTTAATTATTTTTTAAAATTTTTCCATCTTTTTAGAATATTCTAAATTTTGATTTAAAAAACCTTGTTTCTCTTTGTCGCAACAAGGGGTAGTAAATAACATAGATAATTTTTAGCGCGTTTTTTTTTACACACATTAATTTGGAAAATCTTGCAAAAATAAAAATAATTGTCAGATGTTAATAGAACTTTCAGAAACTATTCACAGATGATCAAAATTATTATAAATATTTTTTTTTATTAAAAGTCATGGCAGAAATATTTTTTTTTATATTTATTAACAACCCCATAACTAATTTTATGAAAAACTCTAGAAATTTGAGACCATCGGTTTTAGTGATTACAATAGTTAAAAGCACAAGGCTTTGAAGAATGCAAATCATGTTTTTTTTTTTTTTTTTTTTTTTTTTGGCCAACATACCTGAAAATCAGCTGTGAATTGTGACATACAAAACTCAATAAAACAAATATATTATTTACTTTCAAATGCTTTTATTTGTTTTAATTTGTTTTTATGAATATGGACAATATTTTCTGAAAGCAAAAAAAAATTTTCAATGAAAATTGAATTTTTAATACAATTATTTCTTATTTCTTTAATTTTAAAAAAGATTTTTAAAAAATGTTTAAATTGAATTTAAAAAATATTTTAACATTAGTTAAATGCAACATCAACCTTTCAAAATGTCCGTGTGAGATTGTCATTGTCTAGCGTTTTGAAAATTGTATAATTTGGACCAATCAGATTAGCCATGGTAATTAAGAAATGTAATTCTTGTGTTTATAGTCGGACAGTAATTATCAAGTACGGAAGACTAACCAGAATACAATTTAGTTGCATTATTTGAGTTCGGCATTGTTCTCCGCTGTTAAGCCCTTTACTTTTGCGAAAACACGTATGGAGAAGTTAATTTGAGTTTTCAATTTCAACTGAGAAGGGTACCTACAAGTAACAGTATCATCTTATGAAATTTAACTACTGCTAAACTTTAATTTATATGATCTTATTTTTATATTAATCTCAGTTATGACATTTTTCCATAAATGAAATATCAAAATTAATAATAAAATGAATGGAAATACAAACAACACAGTAAAATGTAATAAATGTACATAAAATTATAGTATTTTATGTACACTTCTGATAAAATTTCATAAGAAAGGTACCTAAATTAATTAGATACCTTTTTTCTTATGAAATTTAATCTCACTATTAACAGTCTTATTTTTTTAATTTCTTTATATTTTCCATAAAAAAAAAAAAAATAAAAATTAAAAAAAAAAAAAAAAAATAAAAGTTTTCCTTAAAAATAAAAGAGGTAAATAATTTGTTCACTTAAATAATTTCACTTCCTTCCATCCGTAGAAAGAATTACCCTCCCGTAAGTTATCTAAACATCATGAATGTGCCTTTTCGTCAATCGTCAAGCGACGCGAAAGGTTATGACCTGCTTTGTTTTATTTTCAAATTACATTTTTTTTTTTTTTGAAGCTAAGTTAAGCTTGGTTCAAAATATTTTAAATAAACAGTATAATATCTGTTTTTATTAAAATCAGTTTTGAAAAAATGATAATTTATTTTTAAAAGAATATCAAAGTAAGATTTTAATCTTTTTTATCAAATCGAAAAAAATGATTAAAAATGATTGATTATCTGCCCTTTTTTTTTTGACCAAAAAAAAAAACAATATTTTTAACAAAAATTTCAGACATGCTAGGAACGATTAAAAAATGTAAAAAAAATACTCCAAAAATACTTTGATCTTTCCTCTTTAATAATAATATGAACATTAGATGATAAAATTTTGTTTTCGTCAAGTTCGGCGTCTTTTTCATCATGCTATGCTCTTTTGTTTACATTTTCGTGGGTGAGTTCTCCCCCTTTCATTCTCACGATGTGTCTTAATCGTGTTTTCAAATTGATTTTCTTAAAAAACAACTGTGTTTTTCCCATTTTCGGCGCCGTTAGAACCACCAAAAGGTAATTTTATGTAGTCCTGTGAAGTTTTGTTGAAATCGGCTAAAAATGTAAGAAATTTGATCCAACATATAAACGTTACAGACACACACACACACACAACCTGCGTTTTATAATAAGTAAGATTTTAATATCAACACAAATCTAAAACGGACTGCAAATGAACAAACGATTACAGAGAGACATTCTGAAATCTAAAACATCATACACATTTTACCAACATAACATATACCAATTATCCAGCTTGTATATTGTTTTGAATTGTATATAAATGTTATATTAGTTTCTAATCAAATATGTCTTGTTCTTAATCGTATTTTAAATTTCGTTTATTTATTTGTTGTGGATGCAGAAAGTCACGCAACCTACACAAATTCCTTCTGATTCTTTCAAGCATCTTACTTATTATAAAACGCAGATTGTGTGTGTGTGTGTGTGTCTGTACGTTTATATATTGGATCGATTTCCATTTTTCAACTGATTTCAACAAAACTTCAAGAAGATAAATGAAAATACCTTGTGGTGGTTCTGGCAGTGCCCAAAATTGAAAAAAACACAATTTTTTTTGTACAAAATCAATTTGAAAACACTATTCTGTCGCCAGAATGAAAGGAGGACAACTCATATCGAGTTATACTTATTATAAAACCCAGGTTGTTTGTGTGTGTGTGTGTGTGTGTGTGTTCCTTTATATATGGGATCGGATTTAAAAAGATACATTTTTCAACCGATTTCAACAAAACTTCACTTTTTTTTTTTTTGCAGGTAGTGTTTCTTATTGTCTTGCACTTTTTTTTTTTATTTTTACATTCAGAATGCTTTAAAAATTCCATTTACAAGACAATTGTTTATAATAAAATTCTATTCAATCGATAGACTCATAACAATTGAAAACAATGTTTTTGTTTGAGTTTGGGTTTGACCAATTCATAAAAAAAAAAAAAAAAACTAATTAAGACATGCGTGTCCGTCAATCTTAAATAATAATCTTTGTGTCAATTTTATTTTTTAGTCTTTATGATGGTCAATACTTGATCTATCTGTTACTGTTACTGTCCCCAAGCAACACCGGGCTCTACTGCTAGTAATTAATAAATTCTGCATATCCCCAACAACCTCATACAAAGATTAAATAAATGAGAAAAATAATTTTATATAGCGTTTTTACTTCCTTTCATTGTTAAAGAATGTAATTGTGTTGAAATTTCATGGGCCATTAATTTTCTGATGTAAAAAATGTTATCATTATAATTTCACTTATGAAAAATAATATCATTATTTGTAATGCTAGATTTGTTCAAATAACCTTCATTTAAGTATTTCTACTTAATTATTATTCTTTTCTTAGCAAAGAATTAAAAAAAAACAACATGAATTTTAATAAGAGAGGAAAATGGTTGTGTTAAAAAGGAAATAAAATACTGTTACATTCATAGTTGCTATTTATTAAGACTAAGGAAAACACTGGAAACATAAGGTTGAGTCAAGAAAGGCTTAATCACATAGGCACATGTATAGAGAACATGGTAGTTCAGTGTGACTGAAAATCCACTTTTTGGCCCTGTTCCCTGAGCGGACATTCTTCTCATAGCAGATGGATGAGTCCATGTTTCAATAATAGGTATAGAGAAGATTAGTCAGTCTTTCTACACAATAGATACTTTTAAAGATTTCTTCCTCTAAGTTATTTGTTTTTATTTATAAAAAAAATAGCTTTTTTAATTCTATAAATCAAATATTTCTATATTCATTGATATTGACTTTGTATGATACAAAACCAGACTTTTAGGGTACCAAGCGGGGATTGAACTCACAACAGTAGTATTACTCTGAGACACTAACTAGCTAACCATTGCTCTGCAGCAACATACTTGTTATGTTTCTTGTACAGAAAGGACACCTTTTATATATTTTTTTTTTTATTCTTCTCTTTCCTTCTGTTGTCATATTTGTTTTGTTCATTTTGTAGGTAATTGGTAACTCTTATCGTGGTTATGTTGACAGTGAAGCAGAAGTTGACCTTCTGCTAACCTATCACAAGCAAGAGACTCACAGCTTTTGGGGAACCCGACAATCCCCCAGCCCTGCTAAGCCCTCAACACGTCTTATGTGGAAATCACAGTATGTGCCATTTGATGGAATTCCATTCATCAACTCAGGTAATTTTTATAAACTTCAGTGTTTATATTATAAAGTATATAAAGATGCTGAAAAGTTTTTAACTTAAACCACTTTTCAAAAAACACTGTTCTGATTTTTGTTTGACATATGAGAGGATGGCAAAAAAAATATTTTCAGTACAACTAATTTAATTAAGAAGCATAATCCAAAATATTTTTTTGTTTATTATAATTTATCTTATACAAATTATATTATTGAAATATGAGGTGATGGCATTTGACATCAAGAAGAGAGATTCAGGAAGGTACCTGGTTACAAGCCAGTTGCAGAGAGACGAGAGAATTTTGAAGGTCAAGTGATAATTCTTCAATTGGACAATAAAGAACAAAAAGAATTCAAAGAAATTTTCCTAAGTATGAACAGTGTGGTTTTAAAAGGGTCTTTTCTAAAATTACTATATGTCCTAGAAATTCTCATGGGAAGGTGGTTGCACCTTTGTTTTTACTTACTTCTTGAATTGTTTTCTCTTTTTGTCATTGAATCCTTTTCTTTCCCAAACTGTAACCCCTTTTTTCCATTTTTTTTTCGGTGGTAATCCTTTTTCGAAACATCAGAAATTTGTTATTCTGCCTTAATAGGCACACAAAAGGAAATTTTGGTACAAATTTTGTATTTGTATCATTTTTGTCTTTACTTGCATAATTAATGTTTTTCCTTTAAAATTTTACGCAGTGGTTGAGTATTGTTTTGTTATTTGTGCCTATTTTGATCTCAAGAAGAAGAGAAGTATATGTTCTCTTTTCAATTTCTATTCTTACTAAATAGCTTTTTGTGTTTGGCACAAGAATTTAGATTTGGTAGGGAGTTGATATTTTTATACATAAACATGTTTTGAGTAAAAAAAATAATCTGATCAACTCATGTTAACTCTTGATGTATAAATTTATTTCTTTTGTCTTTTTTAACTGACTGACAGGAAGCCGAGCCATTGTAATGGAGTGCCAATTTGGACCTCGAAGGAAAGGAAATTTGAACAAAAAGCAACAAGAAGAAACATTAAAAAAAACAGAATATCGACAAACTTGTCCAGCCAGGTAAAGGATCAGAAGACAAAATAACTTAATACAAAATGTAAATGTTTATGTGATGAAAAGAACATACAATTAATCACTGCTTTATTTGCATCTAGATAAAGTACAGTTGGTAGGAGGTGGGGTTCATCCACTGGGGATTCAATCCCTAAATGCAAAACTAGTAACATGCCAAGTCAAAAATGTAGCAAAAGAAGAGAAAGAAACAAAAACTAAGTGGCTAGGGTCCACCGGCAAACCGGTTATTGTTCTTCGCCGTCAGTCGCCTCAAGGAAAAAATCAATTGCAAGACTCCTTTTCTCGGCCGTTACACCGGGCAGTTGTGAAACGGATACATAAAACAAACGCGTTTAATCTAATCACCCCTTGATCTGTCAGTCTCTTCGCATGTCCGACTCCAATTCTGCCGAAAATGACTCGCCTTTTGCTGTACCGCTAGCGCCTTGCCTTCTTTGTTTACTAGTTTTCACTGCTGCTCCGTTCTGTCGTCTGTTCTCGTCATCTCGTTTTTCATGAGACGGTGCACACGAATCGCATCCCGACAACAGCCATGCTTCCCTTTGGATTTGTCATGCATAAAAGATTTCGCACCGTTTTGAGCTCCGTGTTAAATCATCACAAAAAATCTCTTCATCTAAGTTGTATCTATCTGAAATGATTCCTGGGCTCGGTATCCAGGTAGATTTGGGTTGTTATTTTCCACACATCACTGTCTACTGTTTTGAAATAAAGATGTAAAAATAAAGTTGGCATTTTATTTACTGTTGTTGGTTATGTATTTCTTATGATAGTTATATTGGATTGACAAAGGATTGAACTTCTGTTCAATTTATCTCCACTAATAATGTCCAAACTCTGATGGAAACATGTCAAAATATGTCACAAGCTCTCATGGAGAACTCTCTGTGCTGATAACTTTCCTGACCAATACAAGCTCTCATTCTCCCTCAACACCATATTTCAGTTTGGCTTTTGACTGGAATTCGAAGTCAGCTTTCTGAGTTTGAATTCCAGTTGAATCAATTACATTCACTTACATGCTAATACCCTTGGGAAAGGTATGAATCCTCCTCTCCCTTCAGCTATGGTTAAATAGCAGAATGGTCCGGGTTCTCTAGCCTTGGATGGCAACTGGTCTACAGCAGAAATAAATGGCAACCTACTGCGGGAAAAAAATCTGCCTCATCAGTCATGTATCAAAAGATAAATGATTGCCTAAGTGTGTATCTCGCATGGCGCATGACTGACTAGCACATCTTAATAAAGAAAATGTGCTATCCAGCATTTTCTTTGTTAAGATTTCTCAAAAGTTCACGCTGATAGATGTTATAGACACTCTTCAAAATAAAAATAAAAATGGAGTATCTATTTAAAATACAAGTATCCACTGTAATAACATTTAAAGTAATTAAAAATGTTGGATTAAAAGTAAATCCATTAATTCAGTTACAGATACTTTAAAATTAAATCTATGTTAAAGTGGAAGCATCCATGTATGAGGGGGAATTAAATAAATCTCTACCTTGGGATGTAGTCATTAACTGAATTTGGATCTGAAATTTTAGCTCTATAATGTTCAATCTTTTTATTATTTGCCACTGAATTAAGTGCATTGACAGTGCAGATTATATAGTAATAAACGCCTTTTTATTTTTATTATTAGACTGCAGCAAATTTATATGATCATACAAGTTACATAAGATACATCAATAAAAAATTTTTTTCTGTTTCCTGTAAAAAGCTCATTTTTCAACATGGATATTATTTTTTTATCCATACACACATTAATCTATTTCTGTTTTTTTTTGTTTGTTTGTTTTTTAGAATTTACATTAAGAAGGTCAAGAAATTTCCTGACTTTGCAGTGGATATGACATTGGATAAAAAATCCTTAAAAATATCGATGGACAAAAGTTTCCAAGATTTAAAATCAGCTGACCTTGCTATTGGACAAGAAAGGTATTTGACTTTTTATTTATTTAATTGTAATTTTCAAAAAAAATCTCTGATATTTTTATGACCATGTAAAGGGTTATGGCAAATAAATTCTAACAAACACAGCTGGATATATTGTCTAGAACAGGAGTTCTTGCAGGAAAGGTGATCTTTTACTTTTTCCTGCTTTTTTTTTACAGAATTTTGTTTATTAAATTACAATACCTTGGCATTCTGTTGGACTTTTTATTTATGGAAGTATGCTTCAGTTTATTTATTTAATAATTACTTGGGAAGTAAAACCAAATTACTGTACATGTATTCAAGTTTAAAAATCTATCAGCATTTTCTGTTGGTATTAAATTTGTAAAACTCCTCTATAAAAATAATCCATGTAAATATATATGTACTAATATGGAAAAGAAAGAAGATTTTCAATAAAATATGCATATTATTTGGAATGCACCATTTGAGATGAACAATCTTGTAAAGTTGGGGGGATCACCTTCTGACATTTGGTGAAAAAGGTGCTTTGGGCAAAAAAAGGTTGAGAACTCCTGATCTAGGCTGTGCAGATATAGATAAGATAAGGGACACATGTTCAAACCCTGCCAGAGAGCGTATATTTTTATTTAATAAGCTTTCTGGAATATTCAGGCCAGTAGATGAAAATAAATGAATATACTGTTTAATAAATAAACTGAGTGTCTACTAAAATATTGGTAACCACTAAAAATAGCAATCAAGGAATAAAATTTGTCAGATTAATAAATAAAAATCTATTCTTTAAATTGCAATGCATTTTATATATGTGGATTTAATTCTAGCATCAAGACAGACTCAATTCTCCTGGTTTGGTTCGTATATAAATAAATAACTCTTATTCAGAATAAAATATTAAAACAATTTAAAATGTTAACATCTGTGATGGAAAAATTGAGTCATCTCTCCAAGGAACACATCTTTCCAAAAAAAAAATAATTTTTTTTTTTTTTTTTTTTTTTCCAAAGATTTTGATATTTTTCATCTTACTATTGGATAAGAACTCCAGGCACAAATATTGTTATTTTTTATTTATTTTTAATTTTAAGAGGCAGTAGGGGTCACTTTACCATGTAAATTCATTCCTCCACACACATGCACACAATTCCCACCCCCAGCCTGCCAAAAAAAAAAAAAAAAACCACCTGATAAACCATACTCTTACCTTACAAAATTTCAAATAATTTAAAGTTAAAATAAAAAAAATTATATTTATATTATTTAAAGCATATTTTAACTTATCTTTTTCCTGTGTTAAAATAATGCCGACATACAAAATTTCAAATAATTTCAAAACATCTACAGAATATGAATTTAAAGTATGTCCTTACTTGCCTGAAGGATCTGGACTGGTGGAAACAAAACATGCACTTTGCACAAACATCATACATGAAAATAGCAATAAAGTAGTGAGAGGCTTGAAATTTTTTTGTCTGTGGGGAAAGTGGATGTATGGTTGAAAACAATTACACAAGGCTGTGTAAACACTTTTGAACGCTGTCAAGGCTGGAAAGGAAGGATAACTTCAGTTCAGATGTGGTAGCAGTACTCAATTTTTGGTCTGATATGGCACTTGTAAAAATAGAGAATGGTAGGAGTCAGGTACTTTCTAAAGCGGTACAGAGAGCTGGCTTTTCTTCCAGTCCAGTTCCTGGTATGAACTTGTCCCAATGGATGTTTCAGGCAAGGAGTCCTCATAGAGAGTACAACCATTACTCATGACTGGAGAAAACTTGGATTCTGCTCTGTAATGATGAAAAATTACTAGCATTTTTTTTGTGGTGTTCCCATAAACCATTTACATATATATTCACTAGTGGTCTGAGAATGCTCTTAGGCAGATTAGATTGCTAGGGCACAGAGAGTTACAGGAAGTGAAAGAGAACGAGAATAATTTAGTGAGGAAAAGGACAATAAAGGAACAGGGTTCAGGAAGACAGAAGATGTCGATTGACATTGCATTTAAATTTTTGAAAATTGTAGGTGGTAGAGGAACAAGAAATTGGAAGGGAATTTCTGCAAGAAAAGAAACTATTAGAATATAACTTATGGTTATATCTAGCTAGTTCAACAGTAAAACGGTGAGGCCTAGGTGCCATGCTTAAATTCATGCAATCAAGGCACCAGGGCAAAAAGCTCATCAGAACAATTGCCATAAAAATATTTCTAGAAAAGATAAATGGAGTCCATGTCACATTAGCATAAAAAGGGTAGGACGCAAGAGGGAGCCTTGGGGCCAGTCTGTGGTGATCTGATGAACATCAGTGGACTGGCCGTTAACAATAAATTTGATGAACCTACCTGGTAAAGCTCTTGATCCTTTTTTTAATAAAATTAATTTTTTTCAAAGGCATCTTTAAAAAAAAATATGCATGCTAGTTATTGTTTTAAAATTATTTTTTTTGTGTTAGGTATTATGTACAGTTGCCAACGGAAAATGCTCATCAGTTTCATGGGGAAATGCCCTGTGAATTATCATCTTCACCCCAGCATGAATCGGAAGGGTTGTCAAATGATGGAAGCTCCTCTTCACAACTTGATCCAAGGGTCCACAATAAAATCAGAAGTTTGGTGGCTGCAGGAGAGACACGCGTGTATGCAATTCGAAAGCAACTCAGGTAAGCAGGTTTCAGTTGATTGAACAGATTTAAAAATAAATTTTAATAGTAAAACAGAAATAGTTAAATTTTAATTGAATTCAATCAAAAATTGCTCACAGAATGAGAGACAAAAAAAAAACCTATTTTAGATTTTTTAATTTTACTTGTAAATGTTAATCTGGAAATTAATTAATTAGTATTCAAATATAAGCGAGATGTCTTTATACATTCTTTTTGGTCAAGACAAATACCAATCTACCTTTTTATTTTAATTTAGTAGTACTAACAGAAGTAACCAATTATTAAATTTCTTTTTTGATTGGGATATTTTATGTTTATTACTTCTAGGAATTTTGTGACCAAAGAATTGTACCCTTCTAACGAGTCTTGCCCTGAGCGCCACGATCTTACCCTGTTCCCAACAGTGAATGATTTGAAAAATCGCATCCACCAGGCTTTCAAGGATCTGGAGAGTGGGAAATTAGCCAGAGTTTTTCCATCAGTAAGTACTATCAGTGAGCTTTCTTTAATTCTAAAGATTTACAACCATATCACGTTGTAACACCTGTTCACGTACAATCACCAAAATTAAGCAAGTTCAAGTCTGGTCAGTATCTAAGTGGGTGACTGCTTTGGAACACCAAGTTCTGTAAGCTTGGATATGCAGGTGGTGTAATGGATAATGGCTTGGAATTGGAAATCGGTGAGCTGAGTTCCAATTCCAGTCAGGTTTGTTATATTCACTTATGTGCAAATACCCTTGGGAAAAGTATGAATCCATCTCTCTCCCAACCCCCCTTCGCTAAGGGTTAATTAGTAGGACCTGTATCAATAAATCATTATCTCCCCAAAATTCTTACAATCTAAAAAAATGTTTTCTGCCTTTTAAATATCCAACAAAAGGTTAATAAGCTGTAAAGCACAAATCAATCATTCAGTTTAAGTAAAAATATGTGTTTAGACATCAAACCTCACCAAAAGCTTTTATATATTTCCACTCCAGATTTCAGGACTTACAAGAGGGATGGGAGGGAGCAAAGAGTAGATCCAGATTTTCAAAGACAGCTCAGGAATTTCCTTATATTTCAGAAAATGTTTGCAGATATTGAAGAGTAAGGTCATATTTAGTGTATGCCTTGCAACTCCTGGTTTAAAATTATAATGGATAAAAATGGGTTCACTAAATGCAAAAGGTTGAGAATCTTTGTATCTACTGATAAAATTCCTCTCTGAGAGCCTGCACATTGTTTACGAACAACCGTCACCTCATGTCACCAAGTTCTGTAACCCATAATGGTCACCAATTGTACTGCAGCCATTGCAGCAGTAGTGTGTCCAAGGCAAGATAACCTCTTCAGGCTGGTTTTGAATTTCCTTCTCCTAGACTGGTTGCAACCTAAAGGTAAGAGAGCCCAGCCTGCTGTGCTATTTAACCCATAACTTGGAAAAGATGGATTCATACTTTTTCCAAGGGCATGAGCACAAAGTGAATGAAAGAATCAACCAGAAATTGAACATTTCAAAATCTAACAGTGATGTAATAAAAAGCAACAAAAATTAAAATGAAAGAAATAATAGTCAAAGATTAATAATAGATAATGCTTCATTTAATTTTAAATAATTCAAGATGTTATGAGGGGGTACTGAAAAATTCTCAACCTGGCTAAGAAGGGATTCCTCTTTACTCTTTACCTCAAAAATATAAATCTGATGTTTGGTTATTTGGTCAGATTTGGGGAAATATGTCAGGTTAATAACTTTTTAACATTGATACTATGGACACAAGCATAGAAAGAGAAGAGGTGGTTTTATCTCAATCTCAAGTGCTTGTTTGATAAACCAGCAGATTATTCCTTTTGAAATTCAGTCTTCTAAGCAGCATCCCCTTTAACCAAAGGAGAATGGAATAAAGATGTGGATTAGTGATTTTTGGTGATCAAGTGGCAACAAAAGCGGAAATAGTGTATATCCGAGTGCTGGTCTGTATTAACAGTTGTACCTGGTATTGGAAAGAATTCTTGTCCCCATGTCCTTCACATGGTTCCAAAGCCTCAATTTCATATTGCCAGCCACCACATCAAGATGAGTAGATGGGCAAGAAATTGGTAGGTGGGAAGAGCTAACATAACAAAAGTTGTCCCAAGTATCACCTACCTATCCATTCGGACGAACAGGCGAAGCCCTGAATAAAACATCTACATATGGGAAAAAGGATTCATATTTCTCAACATAGCATTTGTCTTTCATTGTGTTACTTTGTGAGTGTGTATCATGCCCTTCCCCAGCTTTCGTATTGAGGATAGAAATGCATTGTGGGGTAATCGTAGGGCAGTTGAAAGCTTGTGTGAAAGTTGCATTGTATGTTTATAACACCACCTCATACTAATGATACTATTAGTGTATTTAAACAAATATTTAAATTTGCAGCAGAAATATTATGTGCTTGTCTACTTTTCTTCTCTGAAAAGCCTGGACTACTATCAGCCAAATTTAATAAATTCATTTCTGTTGTGCTGTAAATAGGAAAGGTTGACACACCTATAGAAAATAAGTAATCTATTCTGGAGAATAATATGGTACACAGTTGAGAACACAGACTAATGTAATAAATAGTTAATCATTAACTCCTCAGTATTTACTTGAGACCACAATGTGGGATGTGGTACAAGGCTGGTTTTTAATGTGTGTGGGGGGGGGGGTTTCCAAGCCCATAGGCTTGGGCAAAAATTGCCTATAGACCCCCGTATACACGTGGTCAGGTAGCTGTCTACCTCCCCAAATGAAACTCTGCCCTTTGGCATAGCCTCGTCAGGGTTCTTCTCTGCCCATAGGCAGAGAGTCAAGTTAACTGTAATCATTAACTCCTCTCCTTCAGTAAGAGAGAGAGTGCTGTTTAAATAGTCTTAGACCTGTCCATCTTGTGGGGGTATTCAGCTACTCCACAACAGTTTCTGAAAGATTCAACTTCTACAAAATAACATTTTGAAACTGTTTTATAAAACTTGGGCAAATCATATCTTAATGAAATTTAAGGTAATTCATTTAGAAAAAAAAAGAGAAGGTATGTTTGTATACTGATTCATTTTTAAGCCAAAGAAAACCAAGATATCAATAGATTTCACTTAGTATACTATGTTATAGATTTCACTTATTATACTATGTTATAGATTTCACTTAGTATACTATGTTATAGGTTTCACTTAGTATACTATGTTATAGGTTTCACTTAGTATACTATGTTATAGATTTCACTTAGTATACTATGTTATAGATTTCACTTAGTATACTATGTTATAGATTTCACTTAGTATACTATGTTATAGATTTCACTTAGTATACTATGTTATAATATCGCTATTTATATAAATATACAGAAATCTTTCTCATCACATGTCAAAACAATTCATTAAACAAAAGCCTATAAATTAATGCCTATATGAGTTTAACAATGCAATTTAATTGGCTTACCTTTGGAGGGACAGTTAAAAAATAAAAGATATTGAGTGGCCAAAAATGATTGTTTATCTCTACCGTGTTGTTCTATTATCTTCTACCATCTTTCAGGCAACTTCATATCTTTCTGAGCAAAGAACTGCTCTAGATATCTTTTACAGCCTTCTAGAGAATTGAGATTTTCCCCTTAAGATGGCATAGTTTGTTTTTTCTCTAAACTAATTCCCTATGTTTTGCATCACCTGCTACCTTCAGTTGGTATAGTTGGAAATAGTATTTGTTCAAGTCACTTGCTTGATTTTCTAGGAGCTCATACTGGAAAACATGTTTCCAATCCCACCATAAAGGTTGCATCAATTATATTTTCTTTTCTTTTTTTAGATAATGGCTGATCTTTCATACAGTTAGCAGTAGTTTATTTCATGTTTGCCACAAATTCTTGAATTTTACATTGTTGTAAAGTATCCACTTTTCATTGACTGCCACAATTTGTTTCAATAATAGCATATTTTCATGGCACTTAAGTAGCAAATCACTATTGTCTAATGGGATTTTTTGTCACTTACAAGGAAGCCACACATCAAAATGACTAATATAAAAAAGCCAGTGTAAATGATTTTCAACAGTTGATTTGGGTATTTCAAAAGTGTTAACTATGTCATATAATATTGATCATTTTAATGTTTTGATGTGATCTCTATAAGACACAATGTAGAACATTGTTTATTATGAAATTTTACAATACTTTCTTTATGAAATAAAAAAAGCATAATATACTAAAACTATTGATTATTTTCAATAAGCAAAAATATACCAATTTGGTCAGTTTAAGAAAAACTTATGCCTCACAAGAGTACAATCAAAAGTAAACATTTTGAAGTTATTTGAAGTTCCTAATGGCATTTAATGACACATAAAACAAACTTTTGGATCATGGGATCCAACTCCAAGACATTACCTCCTTCTAAAAGAAAGTAGGGTTAAATGTACTTTTGATTTCTCTGGCAAAGGACAAAAGATTTAAGTATTTTGGAAGCTAAATAAAGAAAAAAAATTTTAAATACCTTGTGTCATTTTGCATATGTGCATATGCAAAATATATAAGACTGCAGTTGGAGCTATCTTGAAGTGTGGTGCTTTCTTTAATTTAAGCTTTTATAGTTTTTACGACTTCTCTTCCTGACATATTCACAATTCATCAATCTCCCTTATCTTCACTTACAATTCATTTCTTTTTATATGTTAATAACACCTAGACATGCGGATAGTGTAATGGTTATTGTTGCAGAGCGTGAAATTGCCAAACGAAGTTTAAATTCCAATTAATTTTGTTTTTGCCCACTTTGCACAAATGCCCTTGGAAAAAGCATGAATTTGTCTTCCCACGTGTAAGATTAGGTTCTCTTCCTTGCATGGCAACCATTCTAGGAGAAGAAAAATTCTGAGTTAAACCAGGAGAGAGCTGTTTGGAGATTTCGTAGCACACTGTACACCAATTCTCTGTTATCAGTACCTCCAAGAAGCATGTCTGCTTTTACACAAGTCTTCGCCATCCTCTGCGTGGGATCAGTTTGAAACAGAACTGTTGGGCCCTCATGTGTCAAAATCAACAGGAGGGTCCATTAACACATACTGAAATTTTTGTTATGTTGAATCTATTTTCACTTAATTTTCAACCCTTTAACTTTCAATCTCACTTCTCTCTTAATCCCTCTACCCACTAAATATTCAAAAGCATACCAAAATTGTTTGGTAAAAGTTTGTTACTGGTTTGTAAACTGACTTTATGATATAGTAAAAATACCAAAGGGAGATAACAAATAATGTTGACTTATGTGGCAGCTGCTGCTGCTACTACTGTATTAAAAAAACAAATAAAAACAATCTTGATCATTGGAAACTATATATAAAATACCAAAATATTCATTATTGCAGGGATATTTATAACTTAATCAATGACTGTGACCCAGTTATTTCTTTTTAGCCCCTTTTTTGTGGGTAGCATATGTTGAATACTCAAAATCCTATATTGCCCATCAAAATTTCCAATCGCCTACCATTTTCTGTTCAGTTGCTCATCTTCCAGGCTGGGAAACTCTGCTCTAACCAAATCACAAGATCCTCATTCATGACATCTGTATGGCTCAATTACTAATTGGAAAATTAAAGCAAAACATGTTCTTTACTACTTACTCTATTTTGCTGTGTAGAACTTGATAACCAAACATCTGATATCAAAGATATTTCAAGGAAGAAATATTATTAAACTATTTGAAATGATGATATTAAATACTTCTTCCTTTTTTGTAGCCATTGAAGCTGGAAGTTATTGACAATGAACTCAGTAGTTCACAGAATGACGAAAGGAGTTGTGATCTTTCTCAGTTGGATACTTCTAATATATGGCAAATTGCTGGTCCTACAACTTCATCTACATCTACCACCAGCAGTGCAGGAGCTGTTCCAGAAACAGTGACTGTCACCCTTACCCAAAATGCAGGAGAAGGTAAGATGGTCATTAAAAGGTTTTGTAATGCATTTCTGTTTGTTTTGTTTTTTTTTTTTTTTTGTTTGTTTCTAAAATTTCTTAGAGTTATTGAGTTACAGGGACTTAAAATATGTTTCCTCAAGTTTCAACACTTAATCTCTTTATTTGTTCAAGGTGATTGTTAGTAGTCCGTCATTAAGACAATCACTAATAGAAGAAGGCTATTATATGTATAATTTAAACACTTGTTCATATACATCTGCTTACATGTATGAAATTGTATATTTGTAGGAAAGGTGAAAATATAAAAGAAAATGATGGTTATATTTACACAATGGGAAGAAACACTGAAGATTTATCAATGAAAATTTAAAAATTTAAAGCTAAATAGAACATCCTCTTTACCAATGCTGATATAAAACTTTATAAGAATCATTATACACTGACATATTTGTATGAGTGTCCGCATCTTCGGCTTACATTCGCATCACATTGAAATACTGGTTCCTGTACAATCGCTGAAGTTAAGCAACATTGATCCTGGTCAGTACCTAGCTGGGTGATTGCTTGGGAATACCAGGTACTGTAAGCTTGGTGTGCAAGTGGCGTAATGGATTATGGCTCAGAGTTATTGATCAGAGAGTCAAGTTCCAATTCCAGTTGGGTTTGTTACATTCAATTACATGCAAAATCCTTTGTGAAAAGTATGAATCCACTTCTTCTCCTCAAGCTATGGGTTAATTAGTAAAACTTGTAACATTAAACCATTATTATCTCAAAAATGAAAATTCTTAGGATCAAAAAATATTTTCTGGTTATAAATAACCTGCAAAGGGTAGATAAGCCATAGAAAACAAATCAATCACTACCAGAAGAAAGTTATTATATGTATAATTTAAACATTTGTTCATATATATCTGCCTGTATAGATGACATTATATATATGTCGTGGGAGGGGAAAATACAAACAAAAATGATGGTTACAATTGAGAGAAAACACTTGAAGATGTTAAGACGAAACAGAATTTCCTCCTTACCAATGCTGATAAAAAGCTTTGTAGGAATCATTATACACTGACATATTTGTATGAGTGTCTTCATCTTAGTCATTATAAATTATTGTTTTGACTGCTTTACTCTCTAGTCTGAAAGATTTAGCTTCAAATTTCCAGAAAATTACTGTACATGATAGACACCTGAGGAAGTCCCATGGTACTACAGTTGAAACACTGTGACTATAATCAGAAAAACAAGGACACTAGCCTGAATATATCAATGTATGTGCTATCAGGCAGCATTTAAGCTAGCTTCTGTAGAGGGCTCTTGATTGGGTCTTTATCACAATAGGTAGGGAGGAATAGATGTGATAGGCAACAATAAACTACAGAAGAACTCAAAACTGATCACTGCATGCAAGTATTGCATTAATATCTAAGCTTACCTTTAAACGATAATTCTTCTCCCGCCACTTAATATAAAGACAGTTTGATGTACATAGGTCTTTACTTTGTATACAAACAATTGTTTTTATTTCATGAGTGACTTTTGCTGGATTTTGTAATTAATTTCAATTATTCTCAAATTTATTTATAAAAATTGTCATCAAAAAAAAATTTGTTGCAAAAAAATCACTGGAAACAATCACAGTAATCCAAAATTTCAGAATTGCTTGTCCAGATCCAGCCTGGGACATTTTTAATTTGCTCACAGAGTCGGCCTGATTCCAAAATTGTATGACATGGGCTACGGTCTCTAGGAGTAAAGTTGAAAACGAAGACAATTTTATTTTGAAATACTGTAATTTGAGACAGTAATTTTTTCATTTGAATATAAGCTATTGAAAGTTAGACAGTTATCTCCCTTTAATTGTTTTTATCAGCAGAAGCCAACATGGCGGAATCTGAAAACAATCAATAATGCAAACTTGGAAGTCCAAAATTTCAGGATTGCAGGTCCAGATCTGGCTAGGAATGTTTTTAATTTGCTCTTGGAGTCAGCCCGATTCCAAAATTGTATATGTTGGGCTATGGCCTCTAGGAGTAAAGTTAAAGTGTAACGCAGTGACACACTGACATTCACATTTATTATATAGATATTGTTTTTAATTTCTGTTGCTGTTCTGATTATCCAAGAAATATTTCATATATTTCTGTTTATAAATATTGCAGATGGCCAACATGTGATATCCCGAATAGAGACTCACCTGAGTGATGGCACCACTCAAGTATCAACTACTCTAACACCTGAGACTGCCCAACTCCTGTCTAAATTACATCCAGGATTGATATCTACAGGAAATTTTATGCAGGTAAATGCACTTCTTTTTCTCTCTATTTTCCTGTAGTAGTTAGCAAACCACTTTTGAAAGCTCTAGAATAGGCTGAGCTCAGAGTAGTTTTGCCCAACATCACAAGTTGCTAGAAAACCAAAACATTAACCTAAAAACTCAAGTTGTATTCTTAAATAACCTCATCAGATTGAGACTTTCATATGAACGTCATACATGACACCCAAAACTCCTTCAGAAATATCTAAGCTGTCAGCTCTATACAATCACTTTCTCAGATCGATGGTTAAAAATGGCTTTGAGCAAATGAAGCCAGTAGGTATTAGAGAGGACAAACTATTTTTTAACCTTGTGTAAATGTGCTACAGAATCACAAAGAAGGAACTGTACTAAATAACATAAACCACATCACTTGAGGACTTTCAACAGCAGCAACAACTAAAATGGATAGTACATGTTATGAACATATACCCATGCCCATGGTAACTTTGCTGGGTGTGTCCCCCATGGATTGTGGTGCTATTCACAGCTGGTTGTATTGTCCAGTTAATTGCATTGTGATTCCTGGCAAGAAAAAATATTGCATTCTTCCATTCTTACTGAGACATGGTGTTTTTTGTTTTGTTTTGGTCCGGAGGCTGGGTGAATGTCTTTGTAGGAATAGACAATTTGAAGAGTGGAATTATCTTCAATAATAAAGATATATTAATATATTAAAAAGAACTATATATTAAAAGATATATTAAAAGATATTGCATTCTTCCATTCTTTCTGAGACATGGTGTTTTTTGTTTTGTTTTGGTCCGGAGGCTGGGTGAATGTCTTTGTAGGAATAGACAACTTGACGAGTGGAATTATCTTCAATGATAAAGATATATTAATATATTAAAAAGAACTATATATTAAAAGATATATTAAAAGATATATTAAAAAGAACTATATATTAAAAGATATATTAAAAGATATATTAAAAAGAACAACGGAAATTGTCTGGTGGAATTATGATATTTCAACACAGGCAGTAGTTATGAGAAGTTAAAGAAAAAGAATGTTGGCTCTTGTCTTTCTTCAATTCCATAAATTGCTGCTAGGAAATTCATAGGAGAGAAATTACTTTTCAGGTGTGCTTGACACAATGTTCTAATCGACACAACTGGCAACCGAAACTGGGCTCAAACTGCGCATTCCAACTACTAGTTTTTATGGAAGATTCTGCTCATGTGTCCTGTTTGAGCAGAGATGACAAAAGACTTCCATGGCTAGATAAATTTCTTCATTTGTCCCCAAAATTAAGTATGAATATGAACAGACTGGAGAATTCGCTTCTTTCCAAAATTATATATTCAGTTTAACATCACCCTCTCTCTTTCCCTCTCCACTCTTACCGTATACATGCTTTTAACCCTATCACTTCATGTTTTAATAAAATTGCTTCCTTGAGATGATTACATTGTCACAATGCAACTTGAAACAAAAATAAGATCATGACATTCCATAATTACTTCAAACAAAATAATGACCTAATCAGACAAAAGTATAGAGCAATAACAGTTACTGGACTTGAGAAATCTATTTTCTTGGAATATTGTTTTCATAGAAAAAATGGATATTACATGTAACTTGAAGAGAAAATAATGACATAATCAAGATGCTGACATTCCACACTACGTCAAACAAAAGGTTAGGAAGGAAGTCAGCACTCGAAAGAGCAATAACAGTTACTGAACTTGAGAAACCTATTTTCCTGAAAAATTGTTTTGATAAAAAGATTTTATAAATTTCAACTAAATTTAGCACTGGCTGTTTGGTCAATGAATGTTTCCTTCTAAGGAAACAGCTAATATTACTGTCACCATTGTAAGTGTCTTGTCAACACTAGGTGCCTCATTATTATTATGAGTAAATGAGACTAAACTTTAGTGAATATTTCCCATCACCTTTTCTATTCATCTTCTTGTTTGCATTTTTTTTGTTTTCCCCTATATTTTTTCCCTTTATCTTTAAGCTTCTCAAATTGTTCAAAATTTAGTACAAAATACAGAAAGTTTACTTTGAGAGGGCTTAAAGGTGTAAATTAAGCAATATTAATACTTATCAAAGTATACACTAGGCAAAAAAGATTTTGCTACTGGAGTAAAAGCTTATGCTTGAGATTAAATTGAGTATGTTGATTCTGACTCCATATTCAAAATTATTCAAGCATATCAGAAGTTTTCAGGCTTATGGCCATATCACATTGAAACATTGGTTACTGTACGATCTTGTATGATTAAGCAATGTCAAGCCTGATCAGTACTTAGATAGATGACTACTTGGAAATACCAGGTACTGTTAGCTTGGGTGCGGTGTATGGTGTAATGCTGCTCTCACATTTTCTTTTTAATTCCTCTTTGATTGAATGTTTATGTCATCAAAATTTGACTATTTTTTTTCCCTTTGATGTCTCTTATTTTTGTTTCTCAATTAAACCTTAAAAATAAATTAATAAAATTAAATACCAATATGGAAGATTACAAATCTATCACAATCTTCTGTTGACCAATACATTGATCATAAATGACATTTATTCTCAGATTTTATTTCAACTTGTAACCATCAGAAAAATTTGATTTTGATATTAATAGATATTGAGCTTAATAAATATTGATTTTCTAATCATAACTTAGATGTGGCACAAGGCCGAAAGTATGGGGCACCCAGTGAGGATCAAACTCACTTTTCAGTGAGCTTAATAAATATTAAGCTTAATAGATTTTTGCTTAATAGATCTTGAGCTTAATAGAGAGCATTTAAATTTTGCAGTTTTATTTCAATAAAGAATTTTTATTTATTTATTTTTATACATAATTCTGTTTATTAGTAATGTTAATAATAAAATTAAGTTTAATATATTATACTAAATTTGTGTGTGCAATGCAAGAAATTTTGTATCATAACCAAAAGGTCAAAATTGGTGTAACATTTGGGCAATTTTATTTACAAAATTACTGCTACATATAGTGGTCACATGCTAAAATAGCTCCCCACATAAGCAACCAACCTATGACTGTTTTGCTTGGTTAGAACAAAGGACCATTAGCCAGCACCAAAGAAGTGCCAAGGGAGGCTTGAGCAATTTTTTGCATGACTGCCAACCCACTTTAAACTTGACCTCATATCACATTCTGCTTGATGTGTGCATGCAGATAAATACCTCTTTCATTGCATTTATGGTAGAAAACATCTTTACTTTCTCTTAAGCAGCAAAAGACTTCTAAAATAATCTTAATGTTAAGACGGCACATTGCACAAACTGAAACTGTTTCTAACCATATATAAAGTGAAATAAAATATGTTCATACTTGTTACAGGTGAGATTACTTTGTGCATCAATCTACATGTAACCCTACAACAGGGGAGGAACCAGACAAATCACCCATCTTGTGTCTTGATTCTCATTTATATTGATGTGCACAAAAACTGGGAAAGGCCTGTTGCATGTTGACAAGGAAAATGAAAAGTGAAATTATTGCCAGTGAGAAATGAAAATGCAAATACAGTTCCCAGTATATTTGTTGTAGAGTAGTTTTCACAGTGGAGGCTTGTATTTCAATAAGTCGTCCTAAATTAGGTTCGACATACAAAATGTTAGAAACTTGAAATAAGAGTTAATGACGCAGCAATCTAGTTGTGATGGTTGATACTTCAATGTCCGACATCAACTGACTCACTCAACACCACTGAGCCCAACTGGTGACCGCCACTACTACTACTACTACTACTACTTATTATGTGTGGGAGAGTCTATTACAATAGAATAGGTATTATGGTATAACAATATTTAGTTGTTTATTTAGGGATTTTTTTGGCATTATCTAGGGTGGAGGGTAGATGACTTACTTCATATGACTGTTTACTTCTGTTCCCAGACTAATGGATCAGTTCTTTCCTTAGGCCAGCAAGGATTCTCTCCTTCCTATCTATCTATCCATCTCTACATCATGACACATGCCCATTCTAACCGTGACTCTACTAATATAAGCCTGCGACCAGAACTTCCTAACTTCCAGCTAAGTGGCACTTGTTCCTGAAAGTTTTCATTTATCAATTTATTTTAATTTCTTTTGGTCAAGTGGGTGGCCACTTTAAAGATCCTACTTTTGCTCATAAAAATCACCAGACACGGATAAGATCATTTACTGTCCACTTCTATATGGGTGTCCTTATTTTATCATATAGGGGACCTGTAGCATCATAATTGAAATGACTAAATTATTGATTTACTTAAAAAGAAAATCTGTTGAAGTCATTAATAGTTTAAAATGATCCTCTTTTATTGTTTATTTGTATGTGTTTTTGACAGTTGCCAGCAGTTCAACCAAATTTGGTTTCAAGTGAAGCAGTTGCATCAAACAATTCTACCCTTGAAGAAGAAACTCAGATGGATGTTGATACCAGCAACCAGCATGAAGCAGAAATGGTTGTACCTCATCCTAGTCTTGAACAAGATTCAGTGACCACTCTACAGATTATGTCTGCGGGTAGTTCAGAGTATTTACAAACAGCCAATGGCACACACCAGATTGTTGAAACTGCCCAACTTGTTGACAGTAGTCACCTTGTGACCTCAGATGCATCACAAATTGTTCAAGGCACTCATATACTACAAGGAGACAGTACAACAATAGTCCAAGCAAATAATGTACAGTTGCTGCCATCAGGAATGGCTGCCCAAATTATTGCTGCTGAAAATGGAGATGCTACAGGACAACAACTCATTACTGTTGCTGTTAATCCAGGTGGGTGGGGTTTTCATATTTTTTTTAATTATTTTTTTTTTTTTTTTAGATTATATATATATATATATATATATATATATATATATATAATATTATTCTGGGAAATTTAACTATATATATATTGTCATCTACAGACAGTTTTGCTGTATCACAGCTTATCAGTGTGGCTAGACGTCCAGTTGCCTCTAGCTAGGATTGAAACCTGGCTGAATTGGTGGCAGTCGGAGATTCTACACCTAAGCTGTAGGCACACAGCAGGGATGAAGGTGAATTTAAGTGTATTTATTTTGGGGATAAATAAACAGTGACTTAGAGAACTCAATTTGTTTTACTGAAGAGTCTTGCATTATTAGCTGTAATAGTCACTGTTTACAAACTCACACTTCCTTCCCAGAGAGCTCAACCAAAATAAATTTTTCAGGAGCATATATATTGTCATCCACAGACAGACTATTTTGCTGTATCACAGCTCATCAGTGTGGCTAGACGTCCAGTTGTCTCTAGCTAGGACTGAAACCTGGCTGAATTGGTGTCAGCTGGAGATTCGATAAAGTTGAGGTTTTAATTGAACGTTTCTTTTAAAGAATTTAAAATACATACAAGGAAAGAAATATAAAAATGATATATAGTACAAATTTCAAGTCCTTTTGGCTTTCATAAGCCCATGTCAAAGAAAGGTATTATATTTGTTTTATTAATTTATTAATATCTACTATCTCATTTATAGGGCAATGGACATCATTAATGTTTTGTTTTTGATTTGTTTTTTAGAACACAATAATTAATATCAGATTTCATTTAAAAAATGTATTTAGTTTTGGATTTATATTTTATGCATTATGTTACACACTTTAGTTTCAGATATCCCACCATCATCTGTTAGTTTGTGCTAATTTTTCTTTTTCTTTAGTAAATCTATTTAATGTTTCTTCCTAAATTGAATGAAAATTTATTAATGTTAGTTTGTTTATTTATTATGATTATAGCTTCTAATATTTGTAGTCAATTATGTAATTTATTTATCAACACAAAGAACAAATTCAGTCATCAAGAAAAAATCTTGAATTATTACCAATTTCTGACGTTTCTTTCATCTAAATTTTAGTTGATTTTTTTATCACAACTAGCCAGAATATTATTCTGCAGCTACAAGTACTAACTAATTACTAATAAGCAGTGTAAATTGAAAATAAAGAATAGCTTTTGACAAGACTTGAACTAGCATATCTTTTTTTTTTCTCAAGAAGCCTGTTTTAATGTTACAACTGCTCTCTCTCTCTCGAGCTACAAAATTGAACATGTGCAATAAATCAAATCTGACCATATAGACTTATTCTTTATTTTCCCTACTATTTTTTTTATGTTTTTGTTCATTTACAATATAGCCCTAGAATGGTGGTTGGAACAGTTGCAATAAAAAGCAACTAAAATCAAAATGAAAATATACTAATCAGAAATTTTTAATAATTGCTAACACATTGTCTTACAATAACATTCAAGAAACCTTGAATTGTTAATGATTCTTTGCATATAGATTTGTGTCCTAATTCAGTCACTTATATAATTATTTTTTTTCTTGAATCAGGTGAACTTGTTCAGATTTCAAATGAGCCACCATCACCATCATCTGGAAAGGTATGATGACTACCTGATTGATAATCTATTATTTTTTTGTGTTTTTGTTTTGGTTTCTTTCCAAACTGTTGTTATTGACTGACAACCAACTTGCTCAAGGCCATATAGGTGTTGCTACAGTTAATGGGAGAACTTATTTGAGTGAAAAGAAAAAAATATTTAAATTGAATAATTTAAAAAAAAAAGAATAGAGGCATGAAGATTATTTTAAGTTTTGTTAACATCACTTCACAGTTGTTTAATTGAAGGTTTTCTCTCTCACTTTTTTCAGTGTTTTTTTTTTTTTTTTTTCTCTGCTCACTTTCACTTTTCTCATTTCCTACCACTTAAGGCATGTAATTTTGCCTCCTAAACAATTACTTCTGAATTTGGGATAACGTTTCATAAAAATAAAAAAAAATTGTCTGAATTTTTTAGGTTAAACATTTTCATTATTAATTTTTGGTTAGTTTTTCTTTCATCCATTAGATCTTTTGTCCCAAAGAGACTTATTTAAAAGGGAGACAACTACAAAATAATTTCCTGATTGTACTATCTTGAGAGTAAGCTGCTATTCCATTATAAAGCTAAGGATGATAGGATTCTTTAGCTAAGCAACTCATCTACATAACAAAAATATTTATATATCTCTTCATAAGAAAAAAAGCACCAAAAGTGTTTTTTGAAGTTACCTTGCTATGTGATGGGTATCACCCAACTCCCTGCCAATGAATTAGTACATAGTTTAGTTGTGATTTGCTCTGTAAAATTAAAGAATTCTTGCCCCAAAATGTTTACAGAAGTTGAATTTAGGAAAAAGGGTATACACGTGGTAAACCTTTGAAATGAATTATCAGTACTTGGCTATTTATAGGGATTTCAAGTTTATACATAAGAACTGACAAACTATATGAAAATGATTTTCAAGATAAATTATCTGTTTCAAGAGAACTTTATTCCTTTAAGCAAGTTGATATAATGTAAATTACTTATCTCAGTATCACAATATTGGTTGCTAGCTGGTTTCTGGGGACCACTGTACATTTGTTATAAAAGGTTCTATATATTTTTTACAGGTCTCCTTACTTGCCTGTATTCAAATAATTAATGTGAAGGCATTGAAATAAAGAAAAAGGGGCAAATAACACTTGTTAGTGCAAAAAGTGGCAAATAACATTTTTTAGAGCAAAAAACAAGTAACATTTGTTAGTGCATAAAATGGCAAGTAACCCTTGTTAATGCTTTGTTAGACAAAAGATGAGCCTCTTGACCCATTCACAATGAACAGAAAGATATACCAGTGTGTATTTTCATATTCTTATGGTGCTACTGATTTTATATTTGTTTTCTTTTTACAATTTTCCCATGAAGATAATTACTGTTTGTTTATGTATAGATTTAAGAAATGTAGAATGAGAGTACAAAAGTTCCAATTCAATCACCATTGGCAGCAAAAAAAAATAAGTTAATATTCTTTACAGGTTTTGTAATATTCTTGATAGCTCAGTTGATAATATGAAAATAGTGCCATTGATATTATTTTAAGTCAAGGATTATTCATTCTCTGCTATTTACAGGAAAGAGAATAAATTAGGAATGTAAATTTGCAGAAGAATTGCTACCATGTTTATGTAAAAAGAAAAACAATCTGCAAAATGTTGAATTTCTTTCTTTTTTTTCTTTGCAACACTATAAATTAGTCGTGTACATACTGTGGTGGAAATGAAAAAATTACACCATGTTTGAAGCTATTGAGATATTAATCTTAAATAAATTATAATCTAGAGGAACTGAACAGCTGAAAAATTGTTGTATACCAGATGCAAAAAGTAGGAATAATAGAATTGGGTTAAAACAAAAGTGAAATTGCTTTACCATAATCATAAAATGAGTTTGAGAAACTGAGATAAGTGGAGAGGAAAGCCTTTTGTTGTGTGTCTGTGTGTGTTGATCAATAAGTCCATAACCTGGTGGAGATAACTAAATTTTCACTGCATGCTGTTCAATCTGTGTGTGATTAATGGAAAAGTATTAGCTTAAGTGCATTGACAAGAGAGAAATTATTTTTAAAAATAAACATTTGTTGCATGACATTTTTTTCTTTCTTTTTCTGTTTTTTATTTGTTTTTCTTTTTTTTTTCATTCTTATTTTTCTTTTTCCTTTATCATATCATGTGGCTATGGACTTATTGAAGAGTGTGTGTGTGTATATATATATATATATATATATAATTAATACAACACTAAATATGCTTGTAGATAGTTGGCATTTGTGATTAGCAAATATGGTTGATTTTATTTACATTATTCTCTGATCAATTTGATTAGAAATAACTTTTTGCTTATTGAGAGAATTGCATATAAGTAATAATAAACTATTCTAATAAGAAATAATGTACTGAAAAATAAACATTTTAAAAAAGTACTGAAATGACAGCATAAAGGTAGATAAAATTCTAAAAAAAAAAAACAAGTTTTAAAAAGTGACAAGTGGTTAATGAAAAAGGTAAGATGTAAACCGGAACTATAGATAATTGAAAACAGCCAGCTCTTTAGGATTTGCTAAAGACTATCAGCATATCCAGAGGAAAGACAGAACCATTTAGTATTTTAGCCAGCTGAAGTTTTAATTTTCTTATTATTTACATACTTTCATTGATAATCTTCTGAGGATGGTGTGAATAAATATTAAAAATCATCCATATTTATTGCTTATGAGTCAAATATTGATTTGACTAATAAGCTCTACAAGCTTTCTTGTTGGTTTTGTTTTCTCATTAATTCTATTTTACTTTCTTATCAATCTCCTTTAACAAAAAAACAGTTATTTTTTTTCTAATCAATCTTTATTCCTAAAAAGGAATTATCCTCTTCCTATTTCTACACTCTTTAATTTCATTACTCTATTTCTTATATATGTCTAACCTGTTGTCTTTATTGATCAATTTTTCTCTCCCCCGCCAATCTAGAACTCTTAATCAATTTTTTTTCTCTTCATTTTTTCATAGAAACAGAAAAGTTATTTTGGAGCCAGAAGGTTCACTTCTCATTGCATTTGGAATAATATCAAAGGAAGTTTGAATTTTTTTTTTTCTTTTTAAAGATTTCTGAATGCTCAGTGTTAAATACCTGATTGGTTAATTTAAGTTTTTTTCTGCTTTTACCAACCATAATTTGTGTAAAGCAGGTCTATCTGCATTTAATTTAATAACTGATCCAGAGATTTGTGTGCATTTAAAAGACAAGAGGAAATTGAAATCCCAAACTGGAATGTGGGGTGCACTTGGGGAATCTTTTTACTCACATACACACATTTATGGAAATGTTTCCTAGAATAGAGCAGAGGTTGGTAGTTAGTTTTGTAGGCCATTTTTGGAAGAGCCAAATACAGAGAACTGGCATAAAGTATGCCACAAGGTCTTCAGATGATCCTCTGCAGGTTTTGAATTGAGTATTTTTCCTTCTCCTAGACCATTTGCCACCCAAAGCTATAGGATCCAGACTGTCTTGCTATTTAACCCATAGCTGGGTAAAGAAGAGATGGATTCATACTTTTCCCAGGAGTATTAGCACATAAGTGAATGTAATGAACTCCAATGGAATTCATTGGAGGTATAGTGGAGTAATGGATAGTCACTTGGATTGAGGAATCAGAGCTGACTTTGTGTGTGTGTATATATATATATATATATATATATATATATATATATATATATATAATGAATAAAATGTGTCCCTCAGAGGATGAAAATGTATCAGATAAGAATAGTTTTTCCTCTTGTCTCTTTTTATTCATTTTGTCCCTTTACAGATACACGCTATCTGAAAGTAATATATATATATATATATATATATATATATATATATATATATATATATATATATATATAATATGTGTGTGTATACACACAGTATCCATAAAGTCTCTTTATAATTTAAAAAAAATGATTACAAAACCAAATGAACATATGTGGAAATTTTTATAAAATGCTGAGTAGATATTGAATTTTTTTAACTAATTGAATACACCTCTATACGGGCACCATTAGTTGCATAAAGCACATCAAGACTGTACTCAAATTCTTGACATATCCAGGGACCTTTTGCTTTATAGCCGTGATGTCCCATGTCTTTGTTTGATAGACAATACCTTTAACATAACCCCATAGAAAGAAGTCCAGTGGGGTGATATCTGATGAATGAGGTGACCAGGGAATTGGGCCATCCATTCCAGTCCACTGGTCTGAAAATGTTAGGGGTTCATTTAACAGTACTTCTTTCATCAACAGAATAGCTGAAATACACAAATGCAATTTGATTAAAAGCTTTGATAACTATTGAGTATATAGAACAAATCTGATTAAGGATTCTTATCAATTGCCTTTGTAATGTATTTTTCAAAATTGTAAAGAGACTTTATAGACATCTTGTATATATTACTTTTTACCATGAATGTTATATTTAGTAGGTACCCATGTTTGAGTAAGCATCCTTGTTTTTCAAACAATGAAATTAATGCCTGCTGAAAACATTAATTTCACTGTTTATAAAAACTAGGATGTCTACTCAAACATATCTACCCATGAAATATAATGTTTGCAGTAATAAAAAACATAAGAATTGATAAGAATTAATGTCATATTAAATAAATTCATCAATTCCTTTGTGTGTGTGTGTGTATATATATATATATATATATATATATATATATATATATATATATATATATATATATATATATATATGATGTCTAAACAAGTTTTGTTAAATTCAACCAACAAATTCAGTCTATTTAATTTTATATATATAGTATTTTCTTGTGCATAATATAGGAAATGTTGAACCAAAAATTAATTAATGCCAAAAAAATAAGGTCGTATTATACACAAATACACATTCAGAAATTTTTACTCAGCTTGAAAAACTTCTTATTTGTAACAGCAAGATTGCAAATACGTTCACTTAGCACAATAGATAATAAAAGACAAAGTAGGCAGGTATTGATAACAATTGTTTAAAAAAGGTATTTGATATGTTGGCAATATTTGTTTCTCTCTTCGTTCTTAATAAAATACTATATTTTATATTTTATTATTCTATAGAAATATAATAATGTTGTATCAAACAGAAAAGTATAGTATATTAATAGGCATCCATTTATCTCAAGATAAAGGTAATGACCTGTCTGGTCAAAATTCAGTTTTTGGTGGTGAAACTGGAGTGACCTCTCCAGGGCACGGGCATGGGCAATGGTATATGGAAGCCATGCACTGCCCAAACTACATGGCAACCCTCTCGGTTATACCGACAAGATCTAAAGGAATACAAGGCATTACATTTGGGGATGGCTTGACTGCAAGAGTTGCTGGAAAGTTGTCAGCCAATTGCCTTTGAGGTTTTACTCGGGGTTTTCTGTCTGGATTTACTTTCATAGCCTTTTCCATGTTTGGATATGACTGCAAGGCAACATGGGTTTAAAATCAGGGTTAAATTACCTTCCTGGACTTTTGAGCTCCATCTACCTGACCAGGAACAGATGATAAGTTAATTAATACCTAAAAATGTATTACTGGATATGTCTAGTTAGCAACTCTCCTTGAAAATTTGAAAATAATTTTTAAAATGGAAATTAGAAGAAGCATGCAATAGCTGATTCTTTAATATCATGAAAAATTAAATATTTTAATGAAATTTATATACGATATTGAGATTTTAATGGATAATATGCTAATTTTCAGAAATAATTTACATAGGTTGGCTGTACTATGGGGTCATTTATACTGAAGGATGTAATTCATTCCCTGTTTTTAGCTCTAAAAAAATGGCCTAAAATCTGTTGTTAACAGTTTGAAATTCTGTGTAGGTTACTCAGCTCGAAATACACCTGATGAAGGTCACAGGGCAAAATGGCTGAAACAGTGAATAATGGGTTCAGTTTGAAATTCTCTGTGGGTTACTTAGATCAAAATACACCTGATGAAGGCCAGAGGGCATAATCGCTGAAACAGTGTGATAACAGCAACAAAGATGCATGTCCACATGTAAATAGTATAAATAATGAACTTTTTTAATTTTTAATTTATTTTTTTTTTTTTTTTTTTTCCCCAAGGGTCTTTTTTTATGGCTATTTTTTCACATCGTGAATTGGGATAGAAAGAATTTGTATCTTACAAGATTTTGACTTGAATCTTTGTGAGCCTAACATGGACAGCACCTTACTGTGGCCTCATTGACTACTTCTTTATTTACAATCAAAGTTGTTCAACCCACACTTTAAATATTGCCACTCTATGTTGAACCCACCATACATAACCTGTCACATGTACACTCTACCATAATATATGACAACATCATTGCAAATAATGCAGGAAGTTACAATGTTGAACAGTTAATGGTTGTAGAATTTAAAAATAACTTGAGCATTGCTATAAAAAACAACAAAAATAAGATGAAAAGAAAAACTAACCAAAAAACAAAAATCAATAAGTAAATTTTTTTTGTCATTGTTTGGATTTTATTTGTACCTAAATTTTTTGTTTTTGATTTCCATTTTGCAAAATGGCACCTACTGAGCACGACAAAGAATTTCTCTAAAATTTTGTTTCTCATCTTTGATATTAGTCCATATCATGAAAGAAATTAGCACCAAACAATACTCTTTTATAATTTATTAAGAGAAAAAAAAGACAACTACTTTTTTTTTTGTTTTCAAAGCTTCTTTACTTTTCTATCTTAAATGCTTCTTACTTCCCACATTTCTTTTTTTATGCTTTCTTTCATTCTCTTCTTCCCTACACTACTTACTTCCTCTCATCTTTTCCTTGATAAGTTTCTCTATCTCTCACAACTCTCTAATGACTTTTTCTCCTAAGAACAATACTCACTCCCTCTCCTGGAAGCATCTTCTCTCTCTTATTGTTCTAAAACTCCCATTACTTCCATCACTACCATCTCATCTTTCATAATTTCTCACTGCCTAGAAATAATGTCTTTCACACACCTAAGTCCCTTCCTTTCTAATGCAAATGTTTGGAATATGTTGGAAAATGTTTTTTTGTTATTTCTGAAATATTTAATTTTTTCATTCATGTGTGTTTGTGTGTGTGTTTGTGTGTATGTGTGTGCGCCATTTTAAAAAACTCTAACCTGTTCACTTGATGTCATTTTATTGTTTGTTTGTTTTTTTGTTTGTTTGTTTGTTTAGGGAGTGGTGGTTGAGCAAGCCTTATTAATTAATGAATCAACCACTACTTTGTATATGAATTGAAGATTGTTAAATGTGAAACCCTCTAAAAAATAATATATATATATATATATATATATATATATATATATATATATATATATATATATATATAAACAAAAATATTTAAAACTGTTGACAGCAATAACAATCTTGTTAAATTTGCACAATGAATATTGTTTTCATTAGAATAAATAAAAATGAAGATTCAAAAACAAAGATGTTTCTCCTGTTAAAAAGAAAAATTGGGAAGCAATTTGGGATTATTTGCAAAAACATTTTCCACTCTTGCTTTGTTTATAGTTTTCTTTCTTTTTTTTTTTTCTTTTTTCAATTTTGAAAAAAAAATGCTGTCAAAAGTTATAAATAAATACATTATAGACGGTTTTCAAAAATGCCTCTCTGACTGAGTGACATCCATGACCAAATTATTGACTGTGATCTCGCGGTTACTTTAAGGATCAGTTCTGAATGATTGATGAATTAATTTATATTTCATCATCAGTGCCGTGACATTTTTAACATCTTTTGACTTTTATCTTAAGCAATAAACAAATTCTAAAAAAGATTTCATTTTTGTTCTTTTTTAATGTTTTTCTTCCTTTCTTTATTCAAAACAAAGATATTGTAATTGAATATTGCATTGCAAAGCATATCAAATCAAAGATGGTCAATAAAAAGATGCTCCCTGATAACATGATCGCACGCTGAGCTTATTAAAACAAGAGATGCTGTGGAGTAGAGAGTGCCACATATAGACTTGTAGTTGAACAGTGATGAGTTATGATTTGGTCTCATTGACTTGGAAATGTAAAGGAAAGATCTGTTTGCTTTGTATCAATATTATGTTTTAAAGGTTGAAAAGGCTGAAAGAAAGAGAATAAAGAACTAGAGGCCAAAATGGCCAGAAATGATAAACAGGAGAGATCTAATGCTTCTGACATCAAATCACTAAGACATTATACATATACAATAAATGATACATATATTATACATTTTATTAGGGACCTCCACTGAATTTTCAATACCTAAAATTTAAAATTAATTTTTTAAAATGAAAAAGCATTCTTAAAGATTTCATTTTAGCTTTAATTGAAAGCTAAATGATTAAATTTATTATTTCCAGTAATTGAAATATTCTGGCGTATTTTAAATAAAAGTTATGTAGATTGGAATCTCAACTTTTCAGCCAATTTAAGATTTTTTTAAAAGCGGCCATTTTCTTAATTTCAAGAAATTTGTAAACAAAACAAAAATATCGTTTTTTTTTTTTTTTTTTTTTTTTTTTTTTTCTTCAAAAATAAAATAAATATTTCTGGCACGTTATTTAAGTAAAATTAGAAAATTTAAAGTTTAATTAATCTGATTTAAAACAAATATTACTTATCGCATAAAAATATAGTATACAAGCATTTCTTAACAATGTGTCCTTTTTTGATCATGTATTTATTTAACTTTATTGACATCACTGATAAGTTACAAGGTGATGACAGTTAGTATGGATGACCAGATTTGACATAAATTTATGAAAATGCATTTTTTTGACTTTTAACTGCCTAGTAATTTTTACAAATTAACATATTTTCCGCAATCATCTAATATTTTATTAACTTTTATTTACATTTGAAGATGTTTTACGTTTGAAGATGTTATGAAAAAATAAAATTTAAAATAATAGAAAATTTTCTTAGATTAATTTTAAAATTTAATAACCGACATAAAACAACTTGATAGAAGTAAAGATCAATAATTTATGAAATTTTATGGTATTTTATTTATTATTAATTGTTATCATAATGGTTATATTATTATTAAATTTTTGTAGTACTTTAAATTTAAAACTTACTTTGAAATTTTGAAGGGATGATTTGTAAAGACATTAATGATGAAACAGAACTGAATAAAGAAATGTCAAATGACTCTTAAATCACTTATTTTTAAGGATTATGTCATGTATAGCTTCCCATAGATAGAAATTGGGAATGCTCTATACACTAAAAATTATTTTTTTAAATTCTTTTAAAAATTTGTTGGCTCAAACAATTGTTATGAGCTTTTCAATTTTTGATTCACAAAATTAATTTTCACTTAGCAATATCACCAAACCACCACCTTGAAAGCAATGAAGAATTTTAAACGATTTTTTAATATTATAAATTATTTAATTAAAATCTTTTAAAAAAATGAAAACAATTCTTGTAAAAATTAATTATTCACTGAAAAAAATTTTCTTCTTAAAACAATAGTGTCCTTAATAAATCTTATTTGTAAAAGCAATTAAAAGCTTCTCTAATTAAATAATGTCATAGCTTTATTGCATTTTTTTATTTTACAATTCAAAGCACATTTTTGGTGAAAAGGCCAACTTTTACAAAAAAATATTGATGATTTACTATCTTCAAGGAGTCCATCTTTTAACTAGAAAAAAAAATCCCTGCCCTAAAAATTTAATTTCTCAAAATTTCATGAAATTAAGTAAGTGGGTGGTAACATATGTTAAAAAAAAAAAAAAAAAAGAAGAAAAAGGTTTTTTAAAATTTCATTCAATTCTGAATATGTCCTGAAAGTTTCATTAAAATCCCACAATTATTTGATTTTTGAAAGAATTTCCAAATTAATGTGTTTTTCACCAGAAAAAGTGAAAAAAAAAAACTAATCTTTATCTTTGGTTTCCTGTTGACGTAAAAAAACAAGATTTTTAACCAAAGTTTCAAACATGCTCCAAAATTAAAAAAAAAAAAAAAAATAAACAATAAAAAAAAAATACTTTGGTCTTTCCTCTTAATAATAACATAAACATTTTGATGACAAAACTTTGTTTTATTGAGTTTGGGACCTTTTTTTTTGTCATACTATGCTGTTTTTTCCACCAAAAGGAGATATCTACCTACATTTTCATAATAATAGTGTATATAAATTTAAGAAATATATATATAAATATATATATATATATATATATATATATATATATATATATATATATATATATATATATATATATTTATATAACTATATATTTATATTACTTATTAGAAAACTATCAATATCAGAGATAGCTAACATATTTGGTTGGATAGATGTGAGTTTGTGACCCTGGGTTTCACGCTTTAGCGATCGTCAGACAAACTGATTAATTTTTTAAAAATTTGGGTTTATGTAGATTGCGTGTATTGGTGTTATTGTGGAAGTGGTGGGGAAAATCTTTTACAAGTTTTCCTTTTTTTTCATGTCATCGTTTTAATTTCAAACATCGATGTATGCAGACACATATACATACTTGGTCGTCCGTCAGGACTCATAAATATATAAACATGTATTATTTCGGATATGACATATGTATGTATACAGGTGGTGTTGTGTCTATACATACGCATTTGTATGTTGAAATGTTGAAATTTAAATATTGGAAGTGTGGCGGAAATTTCTCGTCTATGTCTCGTTGAATGTATACATGTCATATATTATTTTTTTTCAGCTGAATAATATTTCCTTGCATGTATGTATATATGTGTGGTGGGGTTTGTGTAAAATTATGATAGGTAAAAATTATTATTATTTATTTTTATTATTAAATTTTTGAAAAAAAATGGGGGTTTATTTGTTATATTTAAAGCTGGTTATTTGTTTGATTTTGGTGACTGTGTATATTTTTTTTTTTCAGGTAGAAATTTGTAATCCTTATTGGTTATTTTTATATGGTGATGTTTAATATTTAATGTACTGGGTGAGAGGGTAGTTTAAAATAATTATACGGGTCTATATGATATGATGTTTTTAGTAATGTTTGCAAGGGATTGGAAACAAAAACATAATATAATTAAGCTAATAGTTATTGTAAATTGGTAGAAATGATTAGTAACGGTGGTGGGAGAATGATAAAACCATAAATGTAGTTATCTCTGGTGGTAGCTTGAACTAAAAAGTGGTTGTTGGTGTTTTATTTTATTTTGTTATATGTATTAATTTATTTTGGTATAAATCCTGATAATAGGTATTCTGTGTAAAATTATGGTAGTTGAAGATTGCTATAATTTTTAATTTTTTACAAAATTATTATTATTATTATAAAAGCTGGTTATTTCCTTGTTTTTTTTTTGAATTGTGAAATGTGACTGTTAGAAATTTCAGTTTGTAATCCTTATTGGTTATTTTATGGTGGTATTAGAATGCTGGGAGAGGGGTAGTTTACATTAATAATTTTAAAGGATTATATGGTAATGGTAGATATAGTGTGGTAGTAATTTGTAAGGGGTTGTCCATACAATAATAATATAAAAATAAGTTAATATTTATTGTAAATTGTTAGTAGTGATTAGTAATGTTGGTGGGAGAATAATAAAAATTTTCCTATAAATGTAATTATTGTGGTGCTAGTTTGAACTAAAGAAAAAAAAAATGTTTTATTTTATTTTCTATATTTATTTGTTTATTTTATTTTATTATGAATCCTGGTAATAAATAGTTTATTCTCATGGTTACATATGGAAATTATATCTGATCATATTGTTTTAAGGTATTAAATATGCTGGGGAGTAATATGTGTTAAAGATTGTAGTGGATTTATATGTTAATAGTAGGTGTGATGTTAAATGAGTGATGGTGCTGGGTGTTGGTGGTAATGATAATATTATTTTTTAATAGTTATTGTAAAATGGTAAAAGTGATTACTAATGG